GGGGGGGGGGGGGGAATCTTATTACAAGACAGCAACAAGAGTATCTTTGCCTGGCCTCCATACCCGAAGAAGTTTGTCATAGAATGAGCAAGTAGCCACAACTGGTTCAGGTCTTCTTGCTTCTCCCTTCTGCCAATCTGCTCCGTACGCGAGCGAATCATGCTTCTTGTAAGTTTCCAACACTGCAGCTTCGCCGCTTTTCACGGAAACGGTTGCGAACCCATTATGCATACATGCAGCCAGGACGAGGCCGGGAACGTAAGGGTGGTGCTTCACCCTCCATACCCCACCCCCCAAGCCGATTGAAGTCTCCTCAACAGGTTTGGAGATCGATCTCAGGTCCCACACTCTCAGGCACTCGTCGTAGCTCCCTGTTACTAAGGTGTTTGGGTCGTGAGGGCTCTTCTGGATGCAACAGACGCCCATTTTGTGGGTTTTCGAGTCCTGAAATACCCTGCGGCGGGAAGGACTGTCCCGCAAATCCCAGCAATTGAGCTTACAGTCGTCCGAGCCAGTGTATACCAAGTTGGGATGGTGGGTGTCGAAGGTGGTTGTCCAGACTTCGAAATCGTGCGCCTTCCACTCTTCCTGGATTTCAAGCTTGGATTCCACGAAAGAAAGAATGGACACCGAGCCATCAGAGAGTCCCACTGTGAGGGATGTGGCTGAAGGATTCCATTCCAAGTACAAGCACATGGAGTTACTGATTCTCTCACTTGTGATGTTCTTGAGATATGCCCCTGCCATTATGGAATCAATATTTATTTAGACATATATAGAAACTCAAAGATGAGAGCCCCTGCACATGAAGTACAAGCACTACTTATCCATTTATAATGCTCAAAACATAACTTCAAAGTGATGAGTTGTATCAGTATAAGTGTCACATAACCAATCTTCGAAAATGGCCAAACAGGAAACCCGGGCAACTATCGTTTTATAGTAAATTCCATAAATGATCCTTTATAACTGAGGGTTTTCCATATATAGTCACCAATTCAAAAATTGTGGAGTATATACTGACCGCGAAAAATCAAATGAGAAGAAAGAAATTGGACAAAGGGAGTATATATCAGGGTTGGTGGTATATTTCCTGCTAAAAACAGCATATCATAAGTTAATCAGGGAATAAATTCAAACCTTCAATCCCATTACAGCAACTATGAATGGTCACGTAGCCATCGGCATCGGCTTGGGCCAGAAAAGGATTTGCACTTCCCCCAGGCGGGCTCCATTTGATGTCAAATACGCCAGAGGTCTCCACATTGTATAACAAATCAAGACTATCTTTGGCAGCATCAACACTAAAGAGCGAAATGCTCCCACGGCGACTGGGATTGCCACCTTCCTGCAGCGTGTATGTGGAGGCCGCTAAAACATGGTGGTACGAATCATGCGGGCAGAACTCCACAGCATCTGCATTGCCATCCAAATAGCAATGTGCTACGTCCATGCCAAGTGTGAAGCACAACAATCTCAACACGACACAAATTCAATACTCAAACTTCCTCAGACCGATGTTTACTCAAATATATAAACCGAGTAGCGCTGGTAATATTGAGATGCACAATATATCAAGCACCATCTCAATATTAGTAGTACTGCACATCAAATTTCAAAAAAAAAAATAAGAAGAAAACAAGCCAAAGCACTAAGAAATACATAATGGCATACGTCATAGACAAATAAAAACTGTGCATTGTGATAATATAATGAAAATGCATGAGATTTCAAGCATGCCTCATCGTCTTAAGTCTGGGCTGTGCATCATCTTAAGTTTGGGCTGTGACCGGGACCGAGTAAGAGCTTAATTTAAGACCGAAGACCGGGCTGAACTGCCTTGAAGACCAACTGGGACCGGACTGGTAATATCTGGACAAGCCCGAATAAGGTTGCGTTCCGTTCACTTGATCTGATATGATGTTTTGAAGATCTAATCAGATGATATCTGATCTTGTCTGATCTGTAGACTGTAGTTATATTTAATAATTTTCTTATCTGATTGGATTTGATCTTATTTTAAAAAGAAAAAGTAATAAACACATAAAATTACCCTTAGTCCTATTTAGGTAAATTAACCTTTTACAAGTGAACTGAATAGGACAAAAACATAAGTCATTTCCCAATGTAGGACTTAAACTTTTTTATTCCTTAAATAGGACTTTATAATGACTAGTAAGAAGAATAATGTACAAGTGATGTTGGACATTTTACAAAACTAGCCCAATGTGTTCCATCTCATTGTGTTCAATCTCAAATTGGAATTATACAGAAACAAATACACAGAGCCCACTGTGTTCAATCTCAAATTGGGATTATACAAAGATAATTTTTTCATAAATAACAATAAGCTCAAATTCACAATTCACTAAGCAAAATATAGAGAAAAAAATCTACAATTTTATACTGGAGTAACACTTTCTGCAACCAAGTGCTATGATAAGGCGTTATGGTTTAAGAGACTTTAATGTAAATCTATTGGAAGATAAGAACACAAGAAATATGAAAATGGCTTGCAGAGGATAATATAATCAAAAATCTAAAACGAATAGTAGATTATCCAAAAGAAGAGCTGAAGAAACATACCGGTTCGGTGTTTACGGAGGTGGCGGGCCACGGCGGTGCTCCGTCGTCGACGATGGGCGATGGAGACTGGGCGGGCGTCTTCAAGCATTCATCGATTAGGCCAACTAATAGAGTAAAAGGCCAAGGCCCATACACTGCAATGGGCTACAGAACTGTACGGACTACGGAGTAATAAATTATTCCACCCACTGAATCCGAGTTTTGGAATGAGTAATTTGCGAAAATCAGACTTAAATACCCCCGAGTATATCATTTTTTCTCTAAGTAGGACTAGTCTAATCTTATAACGTTTGACAATGAAAAGTTCTAAAATATCATGCTTTTGGAAAAAATGACCTTATAAAATACAACATTATTAAAAAAAATTCAAAAGTCATCGAAATAATAAGTCATTATCCAGCACTTTTTACTAATGACTACATTCATAGGGTCATTCTTGTAATCAGTCATTATTCAACACTTCTTGCTAATGAGGACAAATATGGTAGATCATATAGAATTATGTGTCATAAAAAGAATAAAACATACCTAGTCCTATTCTGAGAAATGTATTAGTTCTCTACAATCATTGCTGGATTGGCCGGCTTAGGATGGAGTTCAACTTTATCTCAATACCTCTCAATAAAAGCCCACAAGAGGGTCATTAATGAAAATTGAAGATTTTGTTAAAGGTATCGAGAAGGATGAGGTATGGTTTGTTGTTACTCCCTCCCTCTCATAAAACTTTTTTCGGTTTGAAAAAAAATGTACATTTAAAATGAGTTCTTTTGGGTTATTTTCTAATTATGATTCATTTATTCTACACAATCTCATCCTACTTTATTATAAAATATGGACAAAATTAAAAAGTAACACTAAAATTATTAATTTTAAATGTGCATTTTTTTCAAACAAGGAGAATTTTATGAGACGAGGAAGTAGGTAGTAGATAGTGCACCCAAAATATAATGAAAGTGCATAATTAATTAATGTTCAAAGCTTACCATGGTAACAAGCTTCATTTTTTTTTATTCACTTTCATTTTTTTTCAACATTTTCTTAACCTAGCAATATATACCATTGTTAATTACCAGCGACTTGTCGGCATGCCCACTCTTCAAGCTAGAGTTCCACTTTCTAAGAAGTGTTACTAATTAAGGTTAGGTTTTGACCAGTCAATAGCATTAGGTGCATGCATTGCGCACCTATAATGCATGCATGAAATTGATTTAACAAAAATATTATTAGTGGAATATATAGCAAGATAATGACATTATTTCAATTATTCTAAGCATTGCACCCAAACTTGCACACGCAAATAATAAAGTTTGTGCATGTATAGATGCATGTGTGTATCTCTGTAATACTTGAAGTCAAAATAGTATCATAATCGATCGATGGTTTAAATAGTCAATTGGTCTCCATCAATTTTCCAGTCTCACTAATTAATCGCAGTCAATTTTTTTACTATTTGAACACAATTATTTTGGAAACTTTTGATTTTTATAATATGATGAGGAGTTTTAATTTTAACATTTGAAAAAATTTAAACTAGCTAGGAGCATACATTAAGGGAAAAGAATAAAGTAGAAGTAAAACACTCATAATATACTAAAATAAGAGTTTCATGAATTTATTCTCGAAAAAAAAGTTAAAATACATTCAAGATATTAACAATCATGACCATGTACAAACTGGAGTTCCATGAATTTATTTTTATTTGAAAATTGGTGTGAAATATCATTTCAATACCACAACTCACAAACTTCAGCTCTCCATTGAATTAGTTATTTCACATAAATATTGATCTATTTAATTATTAATTAAACTCATTTTAACACCTTCATTCATTGACATTCCTATATATTAACAAAAAAGCTAATAAGTGATCATCGAGTTTAGCCATTTTTGTGCGGTAATTTGCTAAGGCAAAATCAACAACAAAAAGAGGTGTTTGGTGAACAAAATATGATGACTGATAGTCAAAGTTTGATTACAATAGGATCATTAGTCATGTTCTTGTTCCCACTAAAACGATGAATCCCTTCCCCGAGGTACTCTATTAGAGATAGAAGAAGGAAACGAGATTGAAGAAGGAAAGTGTGAGAGACATAATAAAGAAGCGAGATTGAACAAGCTAAGGAAACCGAATCTCTTTGGAAATAGGTTTAGTATCTTTCCTAGTTGAATTAGGTTTAGTATTTAGTATCTTTCCTAGTTTGTTTAATTCTTATGTTAGTAGGAATAGAAATTTTCTTATTTACTTTACCCTCTTCTTATATAAAGAGGGTTAGATCTTTGTATTCAAAAATCAGTTTCACAACCAATTCAATATACAGAGAATTTCCTCCCAAATAATTCTTTCATGGTATCAGAGCCAGTTTTGAATTCTTGAGACCTCAAACACGCTTCTTCCCCTGCCGTTGGGCATACACAATTCAATGCCTACCGGTGGGATATTGTGATTTTTTTTATTATTATCCTCCCTCATTCTTGAAGAAGTGGTCGGACAAGAGTTGTTCTACGGAGACAAACAACTCTTTCTGCGTCTACTGTTCATGATCGACCGACATCGCGTCCATTGATCGTCGCCTGTTATTACTACCGAAGTGCCGGAATGGTCAACCGTTGCTGAAGAACGGTCGAGTAGGTTGACCGTCCTGACGGCAGTTTCTCTTGATCGCGGTTACTGTTCACGATCGCCCGGCATCGCGTCCATTGATCGTTGCTCAGTTTCTGTGGTTTTGAGCAGTTCCCAATTTGTACGTGTAGGAATTGCACGTGGGACCTTCCGGAGAAGCTTGCGCAGATGCGCGAACCGAGAAAACGTTTCTTGCAGGTTTGAAGCAGTTCTCAATTTGTACGTGTAGGAATTGCACGTGGGACCTACCGGAGAAGTCTGCGCAGATGCGCGAACCGAGGGAATGTTTCTTGTAGGTTTGGAGCAGTTCCCAATTTGTACGTGTAGGAATTGCACGTGGGACCTGCCAGAGAAGCTTGCGTAGATGCGCGAACCGAGGGAACATTTTTTTTATGTCCAAGCTGTGCATGTTGAACTCCCATTCTTCAGCTTGAGGGGGGGTGTTAGAGATAGAAGAAGGAAACGGTATTGAAGAAGGATAGTGTGAGAGACATAATAAAGAAGCGGGATTGAAGAAGGAAACCAAATCCCTTTGGGATTAGTTTTAGTATCTTTCCTAGTTGGATTAGGTTTAGTATTTAGTATCTTTCCTAGTTTGTTTAATTCTTATGTTAGTAGGAATAGAAATTTCCTTGTTTACTTTACCCTCTTCCTATATAAAGAGGGTTAGATCCTTGTATTCAAAAATTAATTTCACAAGCCAATTCAATATACAGAGAATTTCCTCCCAAATAATTCTTTCATACCCTCGGAATTAATTAGCCCGACGCTCACTTAGTATTATTGTCTAAGTGAAATTAAGGGAGATAGATTAAGTTTTAGTTACAAATTGTATATATTAGGTATAATTAGAGTAATAATACAAGGAATTAATTAAGAACCTACATATAATCACATAACCTTACACCAAACAACATAAATGGTCTCTCTTCTTCTTTTTCTTCTTCTTCCCCTGAAGAGATCCCAGATGAGGCATACGTGGCCGCAGATACCAAGTCAAGGAGATCCCGACACTTGCTCTTCATTGTCGCAAGCTTGGTACTAAGGACTGTGTTTTCTTTCTTGAGCCTCATATTCTCGTCAAAAAGGATGTCATATCTGGAGGCTGATGACAACACTCTCGTTGACGAGGTGGATGAGAATGACGACGTTTGGTCTCTCTCATTCCTGGTCCACAATGGATCAGCTTGGTGCCCAAATCGCGCTTTGTTGTTATTGTTGTTGTTGTGGGAGTTTCGTGACCTGTTTGATGAGGATGATTTTTTGCGACGAATGTTGCATAGTAAATCTCTCTCACCCTTGCGGAACATGTCATTGCGAAACTCCCACCGACTGGTTGTTACTTTGCGAAAACCCTGTAATTATTGTAGTTAAATAGTTCATCATCATATGTATGTGTTTGAATGTTTGGTTAGTAATATGTCACCTAGCTTGGCTAGCTACATATCACATATTATATTAAGTGTTTATCAATTTATAATAAACCAACATTATTGTTCTAAAAACAATATGTGTAATTCTCATTTATTAGATTATTTTCATGCAAATTAAACCAGTTGTAGAATTTGAAATTCAATCCTTAACCCCTAAATTAGCAATCTAACATCGTTCTTGAATTGAAGTTAATTGGCCAAAAAACCATATGATGAAATGTGTTTGTTTGATTTTGATTTTTAAGTTAGTCAAACAACACCTACCATATAAAACAAAGATTCCTGAGATTACTACTACTGCCACCATAATTTTATTGTGAAATTTGCACTGAATAGGACTAAAAATAAATCATTTCCTAATGTAGGACTTAAACTTTTGTATTCAGTAAATATGACTTAATAATTAATGACTAGTGAGTAGAATAATGTCCAAGTGATGCTGGACATTTAGTTGAATAATGACTAATAGATAACGACCAATGGTCCTACATTGGGAAATAAAAACGTATGATCCTATATGGAGGAAGTCATTATGTTTTAATCCTATTTAGGTAAATTACCCATTATATTTTTTTAAAATGATTTTATTTTTAATTCGATATATATAGAAAAAAAGTATAAATTACGTATTCAAAAACTATTTTATATCAAAAGTTCTACTCCCTCCGTCCCAAAAAGTCTTTCCTGTTTCATTTTTTGCGCATCCCAAAAAACACTTCTATCCCGCCTTGAATGCCAAAAAAACTTTCAAAATAACTTCTACCCACAATAAAGAAGAAATGTTGTAAATTTTAGGCATTTTAGATGTCGGTAGAAGTGTTTTATAGGATGCGCAAAAAATGAAAGATGAAAGACTTTTTAAGACGGATGGAGTATATGAAACAAGATACGACAAATATATTTTACCTTAATTATCAAATGATCAATAAAAATACACCGTAAACAAAAACTATCGAAAAATCAAATAGTAAAAGTATAAATCGTTTTGAATACTACTCCCTCCGTCCCACTATATTTGTCCACTTTCATTTTTGCACACTATCCAATGCACTTCTTTAATCCATTTTATCTTGTAATTTGTATATTAAAAAATTATAGAAATTATATATTAATAATCTATATGTTAAGACAAATCAAACAAGATCACACATGACTATATTTAGGCTTACGCATTGAGAGAATTTGATGAGTTAAAGTGCTTAGATGAACAGTTCCAAAAGTCAAAAGTGGACGAATATAGCGGGACGGAGGTAGTATTAGAGAAGGAGTAGCTTACATAGGTATTAAGTTGGCGAACAAAGCTGGAGAAGTTGCCGTGCTTGAAGAGGGTGGGGAGCAAGTCCCGGGCGAACTCCGCCGGCCGCCACACCACGAACCCCGTCCCGTCCCCGCTCCACGAAACCACCTCGTCGGTGGCCGGATCCTCCACCAGCTTGTACGTCTTCACCAAGAAAGGCGCCACCGACGCTTTCCTCACGTACTCCAACACCCTCTTCCCGTCTCCGCTGCCGTCGCACTCCGCCGCCGACCCCAACATCATCTCGCCGGAGTATTTTTTTCGTAAGGTCTTATATATAATTAATAGTAATAAACCAAAAAAAAAAGAAGAGAGATAGATATATTTATGTATAGATAATAAAAATCTAGAAGGAAATTAAAGAGGGCGGAATTGATGGAAGGGTTGAGAAGAGAAGAAGGGCGGTTAAGAACTCCCAACCCCAACAATAGAAACCCAATACGACACCGTAGTTCATGAGATTTGCAACGTACACTTTAATTAACAGAGTATTATTTATTCTTCTTCTTCTTCTCTCTTTATCCTCAATATATATATATATATATATATATATACTTTGAATTTGTTAGAAACGTCTCGGATATGCTCTCTTGGCTTCTTTTTATTCGTCTAAATGGGCACAATTAGACTTATTTTTATTAAATCTAACCTAACGTACCTCAACTACCTTCCACGCACGTTCTACCCGTTTTGATATTTCTCGAACCTAACTTGTTTCAATTGTCGTCATTTCGCCTTGGTCAAACTTCTACTCCCTCCGTTCTCGAAAAGAGTTCCTAGTTTAACTGAGCGTAAAAATAAGGAAGTGTTAAACTGTAGTTGACTTCCAATTTTGCCTTTGATGTGATGGGTAAAAGTAAGATGTGATGGATATATTATTAGAGAAAAAATATGATGTGATAGGTAGAGTATAAAAAAGTAACTGTTATAGTAAATTTTTTAATAGAGAGTGGAAATGTTTTATTGGAAATGAAAAAAATGAAAGAGGAAGTATTTTTGAGAACGGAGGGAGTACATCTTTTCTTCTCAAAAGTCAAAATCGAAAAAAGTTTTATGGGACGAAGAGAGTATTATTATTACACAGAGTGTAATAATACATCTCCCGTCTCAAAAATAATGTATGTTTACTAATGTGACACTTTTATTATTGTTAATATTTATACATTATTTTTTTAAAAATAAAAATATGATCATTCAAAATTTTATTTCAAACTTATTAAATAATACGGAGTATTATCATCATCTTAAAAAATATCTTTCTTGTTTTAAATTAAACATAATTTGAACAAACAGATGTTACTCGTATAAAATTTGAGATATCAAAACTGTACCCTAAAATGAATATGATTATATTGAATTTCTATTAAAACTAAATATTCTTTTTTCATAAGTTATGATCAACAAGTGTAATTGTTTGAGTAAGAAAAGTTAAAATATGAAGAAAAAAAGGTTATTTGAAACCGAGGTAGTATTAGATTTATAATACTTTTTAAATAATTTAATGGTCAAAATTTCTTAGTTTTACACGAAATATGGGTGAAGTCTTTGGACTCAAAACACGTGTGGTCGTCTATTTGTTCATTTCACATACACGGCGCCAAAATAAGATAATATTTCCTACCGATGTGACTAAATATTCTAGACATTCTCTCTTTTTTTGCAATTAATGTTTTTCTAATTAACGCTAACGTTTTGAATACTTTTTTTGATTTAAATTACATTGAAAAATGTTAACTTCAAAAACTATCGTCACATAATGTTTTTAAAATGCTGTTTTAAGCTTAAACACATAACTTTGAGTTTTTCTACTTGTTTTTTATTTTTTTTCCCGGTTCCTTTCATTTTTTGTATATAATTTTAATTTTTCTAATTCCTTATAATTTTTCTAATTTCTTCTAGCTTTTTCCATTTTTCTTCTAACATCAAAATTTTTCAAAATATTTCAATTTTCTTCTAATTCTTTTTTGTTTCTTCAAACAATCACTCTAAAAATGATACTTATATTTTTCATGTCATTATTATTATTGTCATCATCATTATTATGATCTCAATAACTATAATTCATAAATTATTTCAATTTGTCTATTTTGTTTTTTCACATGTCACAATTTTTGTGATTTACACTTATTATTTTTTTGTTTTACTTTTACTGTAATATAAAGAATATATATAATTTTAATTTTGTTTATTAATTTAAATGACACTAACATATGTTCCAAAAATCAAATAAAAGAGCTATTTTTTAAATCTAAATTGTAGAGTATAATATTTATTTCAACATTTTTCATTTATCATTTTTGTTATTTCTAGAGTATAATATTCATTTCAATGTTTTTCATTTTTTTTCAATATTTCAAATCTCTTCCAAATTTTTCTAACTCTTTCCTGCTTTTTCAATTGCTTTAATTTTTTTTCTAATTTTTCTAATTTCTCCAGTTTATTTTAATTTTTTCATTGTCGACTTAGTCACCCAAGCCCTAATAATGTTCTCTACGTAACACTCTAACTCGCGTAACTTGAACCAACGAATTAGTGAACCGGGTTGCTACTAATTTGATATTCACATGCACAATATTTTGAATTTTTTTTAAAAAATAAAGCATTCATTCATATTTATTTAAAAACAAATCAAAAGTCAATTGGAGTAAATAATTCAAATATTGTGGAAGCCTTTAATTAAAAATAAATTACTAAAACACGCTTGTAATTAAATAAACAAAGCCAGTAGATTACTTAATTTAAATTTTTACAACTTCGGGCCATCCACTTTGCAGAGCTGAGTGAGTAAATATTTAAAACTAAAATTAACTAATAGACTAGTTTGCATAAATATATAATCATACAATATCTGAAGGCTAGAACAATTAAATATCATTATTGAAAATTATGATTAATCTTTCGTTTACTCAATTCAGACCTTACACATTTTTACTACACAACCTATTTGGCTCATATTTCCTTCATTAGACTAGATTCATGGACACCTAAGCACTGTCTAGAGCCACTCTCGAAAATTCAAAGAACTTATTTGATGCGGGTTGGAGCCCTTATATGGCATTGCCAGACTGCCACTCTCGTAAATTTTATTTTTTATTTCTATACTAATATGTAAATAAAATGAATTGAAAAAACTTGATATTTTATTTCGGTAATACAAGTGTGACAAATATTTAGGGACGGAGGAAGTATTTCGTTTAACTTCACTCTTACGCTTAAGAAGTTAAAGTTAACTTAAATAGATACTAGAATGATCATATGAGAGCCATTAAAACGCATAAGAAAGTAAGAACAAGTTAATTAATATAAGGGAGTCGTTAATCACCTTCTATATATCTTTAAAAATTCTACTTCATACTTTCGGCTGAAAAAGGGTGGAAGAGAATCGCTTTTGTCGTTGAAATTCTATTTTGAAGATCGAATTTATTTTTGGTTTTATAATTTCATTCCACTAAGTTAATTACAAATCAAAATATTTTAGAATACACTTCATCCGTCTTTTAAAACATTTGTCATTTGGACTTTTAATGAATCTAAATAAGAGATATTTTTGTATTGACTTTCTAAAAATATTCTTGATGTAATGAATATGTTTAAGTGATTAGATATGATGTTATATGTAAGATAATAATTACTAGTATAGATGAAAATGATTTATAATAAAAAGAGATTTTTTAGACAAATAGAAAGAGAAAGAAGAAAGGTTCAAGGGACGTCAAAGTCTTAGATGGTCCTAAAATCCACACTTATTTTATACGCGTTAGTTCATAAACACCATGAAAGTGTTGGACTTTTTATAAAATTGAAACGATCGAGTGTTAATTTCATAAAAAGTATAAAAAATTTACGTTTTACATGTGACCTTAGAGCTAAAAGTACAACTCTCAAGGGACATAAAAAGTATTAAAACTCATAATTACTTAAAATGTAGGTCCACTATAGAATTTGCTTAAAATGTAATCTATGACTTTATTATTTTACTTTATTTGTTTCTCCTTTTTATAGTTAGTAATTACTAATTACTCCTCTCGTTCTAAATAAAGGCAATAAAAATATAAGAAGGCAAAAATTCTTTCATTAATGAAACAAATAAAAACATAGACCACAAATTCTTTCATTAATAAGAAGGCAAAAATAACCGTGAAATAAACGAAAAAAATTAAAATGGAAAATATTAATCGAGCAAACAAATATTCTACTCCGTAATTTTCACTTTAGACCAAAGTAAAAAGTCACTAGTAAAAGTTTATTCTTATCATACCTGTTAGAGTGCCTCCCACATCAGAAATCTAAGAATAAAATAATCGGTATATAAACTCTTGAGTTGAACTAAGTAATCGATTAGATTCAATCTTTTAATGTGGTTCAGCACAAGTGTTTTATTGCACCAATCCAGTTGTCCATACCCATCCTGAATTCTATCATGGTATCAAAGCAGGTTTTGGCCCACCTCGTTTGTCAAGGTGTCCGTCTAGACGTTCATTCCTAGCGGCCCGTTAGTCTTTAGCCCAGTTGTCCGCATGGAGTATGTTACCAACGGCATATGGCCCGTATAACACGATTTCTCGTCTGGAAGTCCATACCCAACGGCTCGTGGTCCTTTAGGTGTTGGTGCTCAAAAAAATCAAGGGAATGAGAATTTATTTGCAAGTGGTCAACCGGTTAGATTCAAAAAGGTTCGGTTGTCTACTTGAGGGGGAGTGTTAGAGTGCATCCCACATCGGAAGTCCAAGAATAAAATAATCAATATATAAGCTCTTGAGTTGAACTAAGTAATCGAATGGATTCAATCTTTTAATGTGGTTCATCCAAGTGTCTTATTGCCACAATCTAGTTGTCCATATCCATCCTAAATTCTATCAATGCCCCTGTACATTCATCGTTTTTTGCAAAAGAAAAAAAATTATAATTTGATTTTTAAAAATTTAGAAAGAGTCATAAAATTTAAAACTAAATAGTTATAATTTAATGTAAAAAAACTTTTCTTTTCACTTGAGTGGTAGGAAGCTCATCCTTCAGAATTCATGGGAAAGTTCATCTATGTTTGGGTCCCAGTAGTGGCATATGTGTTGGTTCTTTGTATCATTAAATTGAGAATAGTATGAAGCGATACTACATTGTAATAGAGTCACTACAAGAATTTGTCGTGTCCATTTCTAATTCCGACGCAGATCAGCGACGGTTCTTTACTTCCATCGTAGATTGGGCTTGATAAAGAAATGAAAACTTCCGTTGCAGGTCCGTCGCAGATCTGCCACGGATATTCAATTCCTTCGCAGATTGGGCTTGATAAAAAAATGAAAACTTCCGTTGCAGGTCCGTCGCAGATCTGCCACGGATATTCAATTCCGTCGCAGATTTTAAATCTGCCACAACTTTTCTGCGACGGAAAAATTTCGTTGCAAATCCGTCGCAGAAAGGAAATCTGCCACGGAATTTCAAATTCTGCCACGAAATTTGTCCGTTGCAGATCGGCAGTTTTATTGTAGTGAGCCAATATCATTCAAAAAATATTTTAGTATAAAAACATTGTGAGAACCACATATTTAGTTTTTAAAAGAAAACAAAGGAGATGTGACCTTTTTTTCCTAAGACATTTTAATAAAGAAAAATTTGCACTAAATAAGACTAAAACATAAGTCATTTCTCAATGCAGTACTTAAACTTTTTATTCCCTAAGTAGTACTTGATAATGTCTATAAGGAGAAATAATGTCCAATGATGGTGGACATTTTAATTGAATAATGACTAATGGATAATAACCAATGGTCCTACATTGGTAAATAAAAATATATGGTTATATATTGATAAAGTCATTATATTTTAGTCTTATTTAAGTAAATTCTCCTTTTATAAAAGTTGTGAACTTCTTTATTTTTTGTTACATATTTATTTGGATGATAACTTAATTGGGTGATTTTTTTAATAATTTATTTTTGAATATTTTTCAAACTTCTTTCAATTTCTTTTAAATATTTCTAGTTTCTTCCAATATTCAAATTTAGAATTCCACTAAAATGACACACCCTTGTTATTTTATTCTACGACTTTCATTTGATTTTTCATGATCAAACATTATAAATTTTGCTACGTAATACAGGAAAAGTACAATAATGAATTACAACATAATGTCAATGGTTGCATTCAAATGACCCCAATATCGTAGTTTACCGTCAATGAGTTTTAACAATTCATGCATTATGTACCGTCATTGATTTTTTTTTAATTTTACATAAAATTGTATAGAAATGATCATTTTGAAAATTATTTTAAATTTATATAATGAAAATACTAAATTACCCTAAATTAATCATTATTTAAATGACATTCTTACAAATAATTACTTAAGTAACAAATGTCAATTATATAAATAAAATTTTTCTAAGACTAATTTGAAAAACACCACATTAGAAAAGAGTATTTTATCCGAGAGTAGAATTTGATCTTTTAAAAAACGCTAAAACTTAGGAGTATGTTAAATTTGTTGCTGAACCGGCCCAAAAGCCCAATTGGGCCACCTTAATTAATATCATATCCTAAGTAAAAACATACTGAGTTCAGCTCCGCCGTTGCCGTCCGGGTTCATCATGTAAAACGCCTCCGAGTCTCGGTTCCCCACAACTCGCTCAAACCGGGCCCTCATGTACAGCAACTCGCCGCCGTCTTCCACCACCGGAATCACCCCGGCCCCCACCGACACGCTCCGCACCGTGCCCAGCACGTGCCAGTCCGACGCCGTGCACGCCCTCGACTGCGCGTACCCGCACTTCCTGCCGTTGAAGTACACCGTCCAAACCGGCTCGTGGAAGAGCCGCCGCGCCGCCGCCGCGTTCCCGCCCGGCTTCTCGCACTCCAGCGCGATCCGGACGACCCCGGACGACATCTCCCTCACCAAGGCAGACGTCGTGACGGGGAGCTCGATCACCAGGGCCGGCTCGGACCGGGAGTCGGCCTGGACGGCGTAGCTGACGTGGCCTCTCCGGTGGCCGAACAGAGTCCCGGTGACTACGCGGCCGAGAGGAGCTGCAGCCACCGACCCCATCGCCGGGAACCGCCAACACGCGGCGGGAAAAGATATAATCCTCAAAAGAGACCGGAGAAACGCGGACACGACTCCTCCGTCGTTCCTCTTGGCCTTGCAAAGCCGCCGGAGCTCAACCGGAGTCCCGGTCAGCGTGGCATCGGAAATCTCCTCGGAGGTTACGCGAGACGACGTTGACCGCTGGTAATAATAATAATTACTGGCGGGGATGATTATCTTCCCGGCGGCGGGGCTCTGTTTGTAACTGCTAGCTCTGGCCAAAGAGGTAAAAGAATGGGGGTGTTCTGGTAATTTCATCATCCTCTTCTTCAGATCAAGAGAGAGAGAGAGAGGAAATGGGGTAAGAATGGGGGGTGAGAGTTGAAGTGGGATGAGTTGAAAAATGAGTGAAGTAGAGAATATTTAATCTTTAATCTTCATGCATGATGAATATCAAATGTCCTCTATCATGATAAAATCTATAATGTAAATTAATATAAAATTAATTTTTTAAATTTTAATTTTTTACGGAGTAGATTTTTTAAAATTATGTATACTATTATATTAATATGCAATATAAATTAAAAGTATCTGATATGGATAATTAAAATTCATTCGGTTTAGTTCTAAAAAATTAAAGTGGAAGGATACATTAAGATGAAAAGAATATACAACACAAAATTTCCAGTAACATCTTCGTTAAGAAGCAAACCTGATCAAAAAAAATTGTGTACTTTAGTTGATCACTTGAAATATGATATGAACATATCAAACGAGGCAAGAAAGGGGTGATAGTTCTTGTGAGCGTTGCGCAATTGACAAGACAAAAAATATCATGGGGAGTTTGATTTTTGTCAAATACATAGGGAAGCGATTATGTTATGTATAGATCATCTCCAAATCTCAAGTGAAGACTTAGTATAATCTAATTTATTTTCTCTCGAGTGATCGTTTCTGTGGCCGTGCGGGAGGGCGTGTGTGGGAGAGAAATAAAAAAGGGGGAGACAAGGAAATGATTGTGTTGGGAGGGGAGCACTAGAAAAAAGGGGAGCTATGGATGCTTGCGGAGTAGAAAGATGATGGGATGCTTATCATTTCAATGCCTTCATGCTCTACCCTAATAAATAGTCTAAAGTACCTACTACACCTAACTTTTGAAATACATGTTTAAAATGATTTTACTATCACAATTCAACCATATTACTTGCACACTATTTGGTGTAGATTGAAGTGTAAACTCCTTTCGTTCAAAAATTTCATTTTCAATTTGACTTGATAAGAAGATTAAGAAAAATTAAAAAGTGTAATGACTTTTCATATTTGTCATTGATTTGATAGAATAAAGTAATGGTGTAGATAAAAAAATGTAACTTGCAATTTTCGATTGCAAATAAGTATTTTTGAAAGGGGGACATGACTCGTGCTTCATCCAAGATTTTTGAAAGGTCTAATAATAAGAGAGTTGATGAAGATTACGAAAGTGTTTTAAATGGGCCTTCAAGTGACAAATTGTTGAACTTTATAGATGCTTGTTTTTTGGCTTGACCTATAGCCTATAACTCTAGGTTTTCCCCTAAATATACAACTTCTACTTATAATCTTTAGACATCTTCGATGAAGTAACATTCCTTTTGTTATAGCTATCGATTTAGTAAATCAAACCACCTAAAAATCTTGTATGACATGGTGTTTTGTTTTTATCTTTTCTTACAAATTATTTGTGTATGTTACTGATAGATACACCCCGGAATGGGGCAATCCAGCCCAACAAGGCCCAACAGGTCGAACGATTCATACGCGCTCGGCTAAGGGTCCCCGCTTGGCTAAATGGAACTTAATAAGAAACTAAGGTCTCAAGATGACAACCGCGTATGGATACATATCCCTGCTCAGCCCGGAAAGACCTACTCGGACTCGGGGCTGACCTGGTCAGAGCTCCATAGACGACCCCCAACATATAAGCACGCGTGCTCGGCTTCAACCACCAGCTACGCGTCACGGCCCACTAGGGCATGGTGACATGCATGCCTTTTCCAATCAGCGAGCCCGCGATTGGTCACCTTGACACACTTGTCTATCAGATTAGTTGTGGCCGCCCTATTGACACCCATCATTTGTAGCCACCCTAGCTTGTAATCATATTGTTGGTGCCTTCAGTCGAACGACTAGATCTTGATGGGCCCGGCCCGTTAGGCCATAGACTAACGATTGGGAGGCCCAATTGTATTTTGTATAAATGCCCCTCTCCGGGAGGGGGAGGACCACGTTCACTTTACTATCAAGTTAATATACCTTTCTCGACTCTTACAACTTAACGCACTCAGTACTCATTCGATACTTTTTTACCTAGTCTCCTAGGTCCCGGGTTCTAAAACCCAATAGTTACTTATTTCATTCCGAACATATACAATTAATGATATCGTTAAAGGTAGCATAAAAATAACTTTATAAATTTAGTTTTACTCCTTTAATTCTAAATTAAATTTAGACTTCACTATTGATGACCTGACATCATCAGATTCAATCTTCTTTATTTACTTATTTATTTTAATTATTTGTTAAAATAATATGATCATAATATCTCTTACTTTGAAGAATTTTTGTTGTATTTTAATAACATGTAAAACATGTACATAGCATATCTTATTCTTCAATATAATACCAATATCAAATATATAAAACCAAAATAACTTCAATCAAATAATATACAACGCAGGCTGAAATTTACTTAAAAATAAAAAGAATACGTATTAAGGACCCTTTTGGTGATAATTTTTTTGATTAATGTTGCATTTTGGATAATAAAACGTTAGCGGTGTAGATTAACTTTGAAAATGCTAATGCTAAACGATGCACGTTACGATATTCCTAAACATGCCTTAATTCTACGTATTATTTTTATTTGCCTATTTTTTTTTCTTTTCTCAAAGATGGATGTGATTCATATCTACCCAAGAGTACGTGAAATACGTCTGGTAAGTGGTAACTAAGTTAAATTCAAATTTTTCTAAGGGTTCATTTAGTATATGGAATTGATGAAATTGGAATTAAATTAGATTTGAAATTCCATGTGATTCATTTCCATAGAATTGAATTCGCCAATTCCAATTTATTTTTTGCACTATTAATTCTACATCTACATAATTTTTGTGCTACCAAATACCAGAATGGGAATTGAAGTCTTCAATTCCAATTTCATAAATTGAATTCTGTGTACCACACAGGGCTTAAAGGAAAATAGGAAGTACAATAGTGTTAACTTTTAACTTTAAATTCCCAAGTGTGTACTCTAAAGTATAAAGACTTTTAATTATAATAATTGGTGGGAGTACCATTTGTAAAAATTTTCTTTACCTTTATCTCAAACTTTTATTATCAGATAAATAAAAATTGTATTGAATATTGGTCTTAAAATTATTTTATTAGATTTATCTTGTGAAAAGTTATACTTTTTTGTATTAGGATTCAATGTAAATTTAATGTAATTAATAGTTAAAGTTCATCGATTTTGAATTGAAAAAATTAAAATGAACGAATATTTTGAGACGGAAGAAAAATACTTCCTCCGTCCAATAATTTTTTCTCACTTTCCTTATTGGGTTGTCCAAAAATTTCTTTTCGTTTTCTATTTTAGAAAATAACTTTCAATGAATGTGATATATTATACCCTTACTTTATTTCTCTATACTATTCACGTTATTCTTATCACATCAATGACAATACTTGAAAAATCTTCACAGTTGTTAATTTCTTTTAATATCCATGCCAAGTCAAACCAAGAAAGAAATATTTGGATGAAAAAAGTATTATAGAGAGATAACTTGATTTTTAAAAAAATATAGAAATCAAAAGCAAAAAGTACTCATTTTTACATGAACAAAAACATACTTAATTCATTACTTCCAAAAAGTTCCAAACCTTACGCCTATATATTTACATAAAAGCCTATATTTACATAAAAGGGTTAAAAATAACCTGAACTTTTAAAATTCAAAGAAATTGGGAGAGTATTGTTGACCCAACGAATTATGACTTTATTTATTTTTTGAAATCTTTAGTAATTTTTATGAGCGATTATCAATATCACGAATAAAAAAACTAAATATGCGGAAAATTTTGAAAAAACGTAAGATAATTATGCGATATCATTAAAATTTTGCATGAAAATATAAATTTATATGTTAAAAATGAGTAGAAAGAATAGAAATAAAATTAAAATATTATTTTTATAACATTATATTACATATTAAAGCATACGATTTTAGAAAATTCTCACATTAGCGGGTCAGATTCGGGTTCGGTCGGGTTTGACCCATTTTAACGGGTAATTTCGGATTCGGTCAGCAAAACCTATGTTCAAAACCCAGTATTTTTGTGTCGGATTTCGGGTCAAAAATAGGTCGAGTCATTTTTTGTCAGGTATAAGTATTACTATCACTAAAAATACATGTCATATATGGAGTACTAAGTAAAATTTAAATGCATTTAATTTCTTTCTATTAAAATCCAAATTACAGCTTACCAGCCTAATCTCCGTAATAATAAATCAGTTATCATTAATGAGAGAAGATTTATTTCGAGTCAACCAGATCTTCGCTTTTTATACTACTCCAATAGTCAACCATCAATCCATCTGCTTGAAGAATGGACGGCCCAGATTTAAGGTCTCTACCGGCCCCACCGAATCGAATTCAAATTTGAGTTTGTATAACGTTACGCTCCGCGGAGCCTCAGGCTCGGTTCCGAACCAGTAAACGTTAAACAATAACCAGAACCATCTCTCCCTCTCTCAGCATCAAAGAAAGCTCTCAAGAAAATAAAGATTTCACCTTTAATTGCAGAAGTAATAACTCCATCTCTCTCTCTCTCTCTCTCTCTCTTTCTTTTCACTCTCTTTAATCTCTCTGTAAATTCTAGAGGGGTTCTCCTGTTCATTTTCCTCAGGGAGTGATGACGTAAATGGGTCTAAAGTATCTTTCTTGATTTTATTTTTATTTTTTGTATCTTAGAATGAGATTCTTGGAAGGGTTGTGATCGCCTGCGTATCTAAATATTGGTTTTTTGAATGGCAGAAAGATTGGGTTTTTAATGGAGGTTAGGGGGAGACATGAAATCGATTTAGCTTCAAGAAAAGCTGAAGAAGCAGGTTTCGCTTATACTTTCATGGGTTTTTCTTGATTACGTCTTCTATCTTTAAATTACAGAAGATTTTAAGTTGTAAATTTGGGGGGTTTTACCACTTGAATTCTCAGCGCTGAGGAGATTTCAAGCAATCCATTGGCTTGAATATTTAGAAGGGCCCTTAGGGGTATCGAGCCAGGCGTCTGAGAGAGAGTTTCTTGCTTGCTTGAGAAATGGATTGATACTTTGCAATGTGATGAACAAGGTCCAGCCCGGATCAGTCCCAAAGGTAAGTTTGTTTTTTTTGTGTCAAAATAAATATATTTTAAATAAATAAATTCTGGGTTCTGAATTGTTCTTATTCTTGTTAGGTTGTAGATAATCACTTGCCTTCACAATCAGTCATTTGGGATTCTCAGCCTCTACCAGCATACCAGTATTTTGAGAACATTCGAAACTTTTTGGTAGCTGTCCAGAATTTGAGATTGCCCGCTTTCGAGGCATCTGTTTTTGATAAGGTAAACTGATTCTGTCCTTTGGAATTCTCATTCCTTGTCTGAATGAATGTTTAGAATCTGTATTAAATGTTAGACTTTTATTAGGATAACATAGAGGCAGGATCATCAACAAAAGTAGTAGACTGCATTTTAGCACTGAAAGCATATGATGAATGGAAGCAAATGACAGGAGGCAATGGAGTTTATAAGCCTCCTAGGTCTCCACTGACAGTTAGTTCTGTTGGGAGGATCAATGGCCGGAATCAGGTTACAACAGCTCCTGAAAGCAGGAGGCGTCTAGACATGTCGGATGGGTTCTCCCAGAAATCGGCCGAAACTGATGTGCAAAAGCTTGAAGGTTCATTAGTTAAGTCCCTTGCTGAACGGATGGTTGATATGAAAGAGAACATAAACGGCGACATTTTCAATTCGTATCGAAGTGACAACAAGGTATGTTTTTGTTCATTCTTATCCTAGTGAACTTTCTGGGATCATATAACGGTTATGGAGCGATAAGAACTCTTGGTTCTTTGGACAGAATCCCACTGAATTGTTGAGCAGGATATTGTCTTGTTGCACTGATGAACCACTCCCATGCAAAATTTCAAATGTAAGCTGGATGATTTCCATAAAATGTTCAGTTTAAGAGTGATCGTTGATCAAAAGAATGACTTACCAATTTTACCCTTTCAAATGAATGTGGACACAATGTATGTCCTCATTCATTCAATCTTTTATGTATGTAAAATGTCATAATGAACTGTTATTTAAGAGCGTAGAGAGTAGATTTATTGTGAAATTCATGAAAACTCGAAATTTATCTTTGTTTCTAAGAGTTCGCCCTCAGGCATATGTGATGAAGATACTCTTTTTCCACTTTGGTTTTGTTCCTCCAGGATCAGTTGCATTCAATTATGCCAAGCTGTCCCAAGGAGACAAGAAAGTCACCAGTGCCCTCAACATCTACCCCCCTTCAGAACTTAACCAACTCTGGTCATCAAAAGGCATGTTTTTATATCTCCATGACTTTGAGCTATCCTTGTTGCTTAAAATTTTGCCTTTTTACAAAAACATTGTTGAGATCTGGGGTTTATGTTGAAACTTTAGGGCTGCAGTGCTTGTTCAACAAAAGGGACGTGTAACCACTTGAACCGAATCAAGACACATGAAAAAGAGCTTCGGGTAAGCATTGCTTTCATCCACCTTTGACGTTTTTCCCACGCTGAACTAGACGTTATGAAAATTAAAATGTTGGCTAACATTCTAAGATGGCAGAACCTCAAGGTGTTATTATCAAGTACAAAGAGGGAGCTTCAAGACCTGCAATTTCAGTTACAAGGTGATCTGAAGTTGCTCGGTATGTTCCCCTCTAAAGAAACTTTCTGGTTATCATTAATACATCTCCAGTGAGAATATTGAAGGAAAGATCATTTCAGCATTTCTGAAGACCCGAAAATATCATCAAATATGATACACTCCGTATTCGGTTCATTTTTATGTATAGGAGATCAGGTCCAGATGATGTCTGCTTCTGCTCTTGGATACCAAAAGGTGGTAAAAGAGAACAGGAATTTATATAACTTGGTTCAAGATCTCAAGGGTATGATGTTGTTTCGGGGAATGTCTTTTTGAATCTCATTTTTCCTACCTAAACGTTCGACATCTTGAAATGGAACTAAAGTCTCAAGCCAAAATCTATTTATTTTCGATGTGAATAGGGAGTATTCGAGTGTACTGCAGAATTAGGCCTGCAGCTTCAGCAGCAAGAAGCGTGATAGATTCAATCGGAGAAGATGGTTCTCTAGTGGTGGTTGATCCAATGAAACCACATAAAGACGGAAGGAAGAGGTTTCAGTTCAATCGCGTATTCGGACCAACTGCTACTCAAGGTTTCTTGAAAATCTATATGCTCTTTTTTGAACTTGAGTTGTGGAAAGTGAATAATGTAAATGAACAATTAACTTTTTATTCTTTCAGAAGAGGTTTTTACAGACACTAAGCCCCTTGTTAGATCTGTGATGGATGGATATAATGTCTGTATTTTTGCCTATGGCCAAACTGGATCTGGGAAAACCTATACAATGGTAAGTTTTTCTTTTCTTTTCAATATTTGGTTCTTGAAGGAGCAAAAAAATAAAAATCCTTTTTTTTCAAATACAACTGATGTTTTGGTTCATTCACAGTCTGGGCCTTCACTTGGATCAAAAAAGGAGCTTGGAATCAACCAGCTAGCACTCAATGATCTTTTCCAACTCTCATATCAAAGGAAGGAAACCATGAGATATGCCATTTCTGTGCAAATGGTGGAGATATATAACGAGCAAATCCGCGATCTTCTTGCTGGAGATCTGTCATCTGCAACAAAATATCCTTTCATTCTTCTTTTTGACAAGTTCATATATAGTTTAACAAAAAAAGAAACCCATTCCAGCAGCTTTTTGGAATCCCCTTAACTCAGGCATTAAATTAGAGGTTCGTACGTGCGCAAGTGACAGCGGATTAGTCCTTCCGGATGCCACTGTCCTCCCAGTAGAGTCTAGTTTGGACGTTCTTAATCTGATGCTCTCTGGCGAGGCAAACCGTTCTGTTTGCTCTACTGCCATGAACAACCAAAGCAGCCGCTCACACAGGTCATTCAATGTTTTATTTCTGCTATTTCATTCTCAGTGTTTCTTGGGAAGAAAGTGGCGACGAAAAATTATATAAAAACTCATGATTTAAAATACCCAAACATCCCATGCATGAAAGTTCCATGCCTGATTTGCTGCAGTGTGCTGATTGTGCACGTGAATGGTGAAGACGCGTTCGGAAACAAAGTCCAGAGCTGTCTCAACTTGGTGGACCTGGCAGGGAGCGAGCGAGTGGACAGGTCAGAAGTCACAGGAGATGGGCTGAAGGAAGCACAGCACATCAACAAGTCTCTGTCATGTCTGGGAGATGTCATTACAGCTCTGGCGGAGAAGAAGCCCCACGTCCCATACAGAAACAGCAAGCTCACACTTGTGTTGCAGAAGTCTTTAGGTGGGAGTGCAAAAACTCTCATGTTTGCCCATGTGAGCCCAGAGGAGGACTCCTTCGGCGAGACTCTCAGTACTCTCAAGTTTGCCCAGAGGGCCTCCACTGTTGAGCTTGGCGCAGCCCGTTCTAATAGAGATAGCAGTGAGGTTTTAGAGCTGAAAGCACAGGTATAATACATCCATATATATAAGATGCAAATTTTTAGTGTTGATCTTGTGTGGGGGGCTAATGAGATGTCCACATGGTGTGATAGGTTGAGAGCTTGAAAAAAGCATTGGCAAACAGAGAAGCTTCTTCACAAATCATAAAACCTAAGGACGAAGGCATGATGACGCCTAGTGAGAAACCAAAGGCGATTCCACAGACCCCATGCCTCACCAGAGGAAGAAGGCTAAGTCTTGAAGGGCAGTGCTCCTCCAATAAGGACGATCATCGTTTTCGTCGTCCTAGAACTCCTCCACCACCCCCAAGGATGACCAAAAGCCAAGTCTTTGCTGTCCCTCCCCAGAGTCCTACAGAGTCTGCTGCGAAGTGTAGAGTGGAGAAGGACGCGAAGGCCAAAACACCTGAACCTGCAGCAGTGGTCAGTTCTTCTACTACTCCTCATAGAAGAAATGAGCTTCAAACGCCAACGGGTAAAGCTTCTCAAATAAGAAAATCTCTGCGTACCATAGGAAAGTTGATCAATGGATCTGATAATGGAAAGAAAAAGAAGGAAGAGGCAAAGTCGCCAATTGCATCATCTAATGGAAGAACATTAAGAAGGCAATCACTTACAGGCATCTTACCACCACCACCACCTGAGAATTCCAGGAGATCTTCACTCGGCTGGAGATAGCCTCTTAATGAGCTGTATTTGATGATGATGATGATGATATTCTATTACTGTCTTCTCAGCCCGATTCCCTTACATGGGTAGTAGTAGATTGAAAGATAACTCCACATCCCTCACACAAAAAAACGAGATTCTACTAACATTGAAATACACTTTTTTCATTCAATTGTATCTCTTCTTGAGTTGCATAGTTTGGAATTTGTTGGTAGGCTCAGTTTGGCACCTTGTTATTGCGACCAGAAGAATCACGGGACAAATGTATGAATTTGGATGAGATGTGTGTCTTACTTGTCACTGTCCAAGAAAAAATTCTCATGACCAAAAATGAATGTATGTGATAAATCTCGTAATCTAAGAATTTCCACAAAACGTCCACAGCGAATGGTGGAGAGGCTATGTTATATACTTATATTGATTGATGATGATGTACACAAAAAGCATTCCCACAAAATGTTTTACAACAAAATTAACACCAAATGAAAGAATGAGAGGAGAGTTCAGCAAATCAAACCCCATAATGTCATTCTCTCCCCATCCTTGATCGCCTATTTTTCATTGCAATGGTGTAGTAATAGGCACGAAGAAGCCGCTTCTGAAATCTACGTAGGTTCAGTCTAACGTTTTGGCGATCAAGGTATATCTTCTTGGTGAATTCCCACCCCTTCACATTCACACTCTTTGGATCCCTTAGTATAGGGTCATTCTGGTCATATTCATCATACAAAGTGCTTTCATCTGCAAGGATTTTGTACCCAATGTACCTCACTCCCATCTTCTTTGCTGGGTAACCATAGTAAGTCTCTGCAGCCCATTCAGTTCCCAACGGAATGATTTGGATAAAGACCGAAACACCCAAGGGCTTCAAGAAGAGGAAATGAGTCATTGCAGCACCGTGGACTCCAACCATAACGTCACTTGAATTAAGAGCTCTGTAGATTCTTGCCAGCTCTAAAGTCCGGTTAGGTCTCAAAACTTCCACTTGAAATCCAATTTTCTCAGCCACTCTAACCAACGAGTCCTCATTAAGTATTGCTCTCGACCCATTCCTAGCTATTATAACCAGCTTTGGTGCTTTGGAAGTTTTCGCCTTCTTTGGAATAGATTTTTCCATCTCCTCCTCAATAAGGCCTTTGATTCTTGGAGCATAAGCTTGGTCAAGAAGCTCCCTAAAGTCACCCATGCTCTTATTCCCTTTCATCAACAAAGGATCAATGGCGAGCTCATCATGGATCCTTAACCCAACTATGACCTCGGAGAAGCAATGGGTTCGGTTTTCTCGAAAATCCACTGGACGGTAGTCAGAGAGGCGAGAAAGGATGTCTTCGTACTTGGAAATCCACCAGTTGTGATACTCAAGAATGACGAAAACGACCCTCCTGTTGAAATGCTGGGAAGTGATGTAGAGGGGCAAAATCCCGTCGTTGAATTCGTGGTAGACGTTTCCCGTGTAGCCTCCTGTTGAGAACACGACAGCCGGGACGTCATGTTGGACATCACACGAATGTGGAATGCTGGAACTGCTTTTCTTCGCAACCAGACGCAATTCATCAATGGTGTCCATGATGCTCTTTTCCCATTTTCTAGTGTAGGGCTTAATCCTTTCAATTGGGGTGACCCCACCATCAAAATAATCACCAAACAGGCTAAAGATGTGATTTTTAGAACCATGGTGTGTGTAGAGTGCAATTGAAGATGAAGAAGGGTCTGTTCTTACATCCCCTTTCATAACACACACATCACTCCGGAAGCCACTTCTGTCGCAGCTAAGTGTTCCTGCAACAACATAAAATCATTTCTCATCATCCACAACTTATTAGCTTCTCTTCTGCAAATTCAAGCAAAGAGCCCTTATCTTAGACAAATTTCTCAAACCATTCATAGAAAACATTTTTGAAGTCTATTTTCAGAAGGTCCAGTCCAGTCCATAGGGGGGAAACAGGCAGTACTCAATGGGAATAGAACTGGAACCAAAATGTAGGCAGTGCAAGGGGAAATTCCACTTCATTAATAATGAATAAAGAACCAAAGATGGTGGTTTCCATATTTGCTCCCAAAGTGACGCCTTTAATTCACTAGAATTGAACCAAGACACGTAAAGAGGGAGGGGGGAATTTACAAAGAAAAAGAAAACTCGCACAAAGTGATAAAAATCACTACAAAAGTCAAAACCAACCTTTGGAAACAGAGGAACCAGCGGAAGAAATCCCATCACCTTCAGATCGAAATGAATCTGAACCCAATATATGGAAAAAAAATCAGAAGGAAAAAAGAAATATATAATCTTTACAGAAAGATGGATGAAGCAGAGAGATGGCTGCAGAGTTGAGCTTACAGAAGAGAGAGATAATGAAGGCACAAGAAAAGAGGGAGAGAAGGAGGATGAACAAAAGATTTAGTCTTGCTCTCTTGTCGTGAGTTTCCTCGTCTTCTTCGCCATCAACCACCCCTCCGCCGCCGCGTTTCTTCACCGGCGGATGGGTTGTCTGGCAGCGCACCACCATTCTTTATAAAGAAGATGGATTCTTGGATATGGATGGGCGGAGGCTTAGAAAGTCGAGAGCTTTTGTATAAAGTCCGAAATGGGTCCGTGAGATTTTGGTTCAGAGATGGGGTTTTGCGCAGTAAATGAAGGAAGATGCGGCGGAGGAAAAAGGAAGGAAATTGGAGTTCATTAATTAGGGCCGGTTGTCAATTCATTTGCAGTATAAGGAAATCAAGTCAGCTTATTTGCCTTGAGGCGCATGGCATCTTCTTATCTTGTCTGGTCAAGTTTAGTGTTTTTTGCTCGTACAGTAGTCCGTACTCCTCCACTCCAAAAAACATGTTACATATCCAACAATTTGTACCCCGTTTTATACACTGCAGAGATCACTAACATTTTGTATTGGAGTAATGTTAATTTTTGTTAACGCACTGATACTTTATGTTAGTGTATATTTTTGCTAACGCATCGATATTTTGCGTCAGTGTGAAACATCAAAATATTGGTGCATACTTTTGGTATACAAATTTTAGGGTACATGTAGCATGCTCCAAATTACTTGCAGTAATACTTTTCAAGTCTCACGCTATTTGAAATAGATTTTATAATATATTTTAGAATTTTCATGTCTCATTTTATTCAAAATATATATTCTGGAGTCTTTAAAATTCATGATATTATGCTCTGAGAGCACATTCCATCAATTTAAGGGTTCAGATTGAAATTTCTTTTAATTTTCTATATAAATTGAAGAATTTTATAAAAAATTCATAAAATAATGATTATCAAGGTAAAATTGTATATTTTTCAAATGAACAAAACTTTCAATCTAAACGGCTAAATAAATAGAATGTACCTTCGAAGTACATTATCACAAATTAAATTTTAAGGACCTCCTGAATTTATTTCTAATAATATATGATCTTAAAATTTTTACAAAAACAAAAAATCAAGGATAGTCTGAAATATTTTTGAAATAATATGAGACCTCGAGTATTTTTTTGCTAAAAAATGGTGGTAAGGTTTCATTTCCTTTTGAGATTATCTACAATCAACAATGTTTTATTGATAAAATTAATAATATTTACTCCTAATTTTCTTTCATGTTTACCAGTGCATCTTATTGTTTGCCATCAATGATCCAAGAGGGTAGAGGGTAGAGGGCCTGGGGGATTGGGATCTATTGTCACCAGATCTCTATCATTAAAAATACTTCATTCGTTCTTAAATATTTGTCACACTTGTATTTTCAAAATAAAATATCAAGTTTTTCAAATCATTTTATTTATATATTGGTATAGAAATAAAAAATAAAATTTACATATCAAAAAATTACATGAAAAGTTATTCGAAATAAGAGGTATCAAGAATATTTTAATTATTTTATCAAATAACCAATAAAAACGTAGAAATAAACAAAGTTTCCGCGATGCTGAAAAAGCAAGTGTGTCAAATATTTTGGGACGGGAGGAGTATTACGTACATAATTTGTAAATTGTGAATATGACATTTAGAGTCAGGTCTTTTGAAATTTAAAAGTTAATTCAACATTTTTTACTTCCTTCAGTTATTTCTAATTCTTTCAGAATTTTTTCTACTTTTTCCAGTGTTTTCCATCTTCTTCTTGTTTCTTTCAATTCCTTACATTTTTTTTCTTTATTTTTCCAATTTTCTTCTAACATTTAACTATAAAATTCAAAGTTCTAACCGAGAAGAACATGCCATTAGTGGGTTTTATATACGGAGTAATCAAGTTTTATAAAAATGTAAAAATATTATTTACTTTTTATAATCACTCTTGAATCTTGATAGTAGAATTATTAGAATATGATTGGTGCAATATTAGTGCTGCTGTAAAAGGGGTAGAAGGGTAAAATGAATTTTTTATAAACTTAATAATGTTAAATTTAGAAAGATAGGAATCCAACAGGATAACAAAAAATGATAAGTATAAAGAATTTAAAAGATATTTAGGGTCTATAATTATATAAAAAAATCACCCAAAAATATATAAATACAAGCTAAGAATCTGTTTGATGAATTGAATTATAGGCCATGCTATGGTACCACCATATGGGTGTTACTATGGGTGTACTCATGTTTCACACAGACAAACACGTGCGATAATTGTCTGTGCGACATAGACAATTATCGTCTGTGTTTGTCTGTGTGAAACATGTGTGCACCCATGGTAGTACCCATGTGGTGGCACCCAATCATTTTCAATTGAATTATAGGGTACATCCCCTTTTTGGTTTAAGAAATTGGGTTTAGACGTTACAGGAATCATCTTGCACGGAGTAGTTATTTTAATTTATAACGAATTATCTCTTTTATGTTTTAGTTTCATTTACACTATGTTTCTTCAATTTTTAATGTAATAAAATTATTTCTAAAATTGATTTTAGTGTTTGTAATGTCTACATAGTATGAACTAAAGTTGATTTTGAATTGATTTAGTTGATTAATTTGCCTAAAAATATTAATGCAGATGGTTGACTAAAATTGTTAAGTGTGAAATATAATTGAGGAAATGTAAAAATTTTAAATATGATAATTACACTAAGCTACTCTGTATAATATTTCCTGTAAATTATTTGAATGATTGTTTTATACTCCCTCCGTCCCTGTAAACATGGGATGTTTTGATTTTGAAGAAAACTTAAGGGGAGTGTATTTAAGTATTGAATTTCTAAAAATGTCCTTTGATGTGATGGATAAAAGTATGATTTAATGAGTAAATTATTGGTAAAAAGGTATGATGTGATAGGTAGGATATGAAAAAGTAAGCGGATAAAAGTGACTTTTTAATAGAAATAAGAAGTGTTTTTTAAAACAAATGAAAAAAGAAAAGATAAAGACTTTCAGGGACGAAGGGAGTATTAAATTTATTACTTCCTATGTACATAAAATAGTCTTCTTTATGTTTTAGAAAATTTTTTTTACTCAACTTTTTTATGTCTCACCGGTATCATTTTTCATCACATACGTCTATTTTTCTTAAACCATGTTTCAGACTAAATTAAGACCAATTCTTGAACTATGCGAGAATAAATTGTTTTTTCTTCATTTCACATTCTCAAACACAATTGGAGACGTCGCCCCAAACCACGTGTAATAATGCCCCTAATCGTTTAATTTTTTGGATTGCCACTAGACTTGTCCAGTTGATTAGCATGACTCAAAATATATTACTCCCTCCGTCCAAATTTAAATTGCTTGTTTGTCTTTTTTTTTTGTCCCAAAATAAGTTTCTTGTTACTTGTTATCGTAAACTTTTTAAAATAAAATACCTAAACTACCCCTAAAATAAGTCACCCTTCTTCACCTTACTTTCTAATTCATAGTCACCCTTTCTAAAAAGTAATGACAATTTCGAAAAATCAATTCTATTTTTTCTTTTCCTTAAATATGTCCAAAAGTCAAAACAGACAATTTAAAACGGGACGAAGGGAGTAGCTTTTTTCATCAATTGATTTTGTGTTTAATGATTATCTCATTCATAACTTTCATCTATTTTTATTTTATTGTTAGATATCATCTCCTTTAACAATTGGATCTTCATATTGATCTATATCTGTCTTTTTATTTAATTTCTCTGTTTTGCTTAAAAAAAGAGTTTTAATAAAACATAAAGTAGCTTTATTTATTATTAAGAACAAAACATTTTAGGATTTTAAAAAAATTGAAATAGTAAAAAGAATTTAAAAAAATAAAACATAAACAAGAAAATATATCATTAAAATTCAGGCTTTTTTTGAATGGAAGAAAAACAATTTAGATTATTAAAAAATTAATAACGCAATTTCAAATTTAACTAGAATAAAAATTCATGGTTAAAAATTTGGAAATAAAAATATAAAAAAACAATCTTTGAGATTGTAATATTACAAAAACTTTTTTAAGCTTTAATAATTTGAAATAGAGAAACCTGAGAAAAGAGACAAGTTTTCAAAAAAAAAAAAAGGTCTTCTAGAATGAAAATAGAAAAAATCGACTCCCTCCGTTCTTTTAAACCCTTCCACTTTTGACTTTTGGCAAAAATAAGGAAAGTGTAATTTTGATTGACTTTCCAATTTTGCCCCTGATGTGATGGGTAAAAGTAAGATGTGATAGTTTTGTTATTAGTAAAAAAGTATGATGTGATAGGTAGGGTATGAAAAATTAAAGATAAAAGTGGTTTTTTAATAGAAAGTGAATGTGTTTTAGGAAATTAAAAAATATGAAAGGGGAAGGGTTTTGTGGAATAGAGGAAGTACTCAACAATGTGGGGGTAGAGATTGGAAAATAACAAAAGAAATGAGAATAAATTTTCTACAAATGTCGTTTTTTAGGGACTAATAGAGTATTAAGTAATTTAAGGACTTGTTTTCTTTACCTGATGCAATTGGTTCTAATACGATTGAAACAAGTTATGATTTGATTATAATTGTATTTAAAGTTGTTTCTAATCTGATCTGATTTCAATAAAAATAAATAATGCTCGGGCAAGAAATTAAGAACTAGTTGAAGTGAAGAAGCTCTAAATTGAGACAACATTTTCAACTCACATCTCAACAAAAATTGTAGAAAAAGATCCAATCCAAAAAGAGAGTGGGTGTTTTACAAGAAATTCTTACATGAACTGTTCTTTGGAAAAACTCATATCATTACTTCGAAAATTGTGTGATTTTACACAAATATTCCAAAATTTCAAAAATAACACTGATGTTCCCAGAATTCTTGTATGTTTACGTCAATGTTCCAACATTGACATTCATGTACATAGATACTCCGACATTCATGATCATGAAAATTCTACGAGTATCAGTGTCATTTATTGAGTCCCGAAATATTTACGTAAAATTTCACGACCTTAAAAGTAATGATGTGAAAATTTCCTGTTTTTAGAGAAAAAAATTACAAAATTTAAATTTAACAGAGTCGTAAAAAGGATCGTGTTAAATCATTATGATCCATTTAGCATTCGATGCGATAGATATCTATGGGCCCGAACTAAACTGGGCCGGAACCTGGCAAGGTCCAGAACCACATTCTGGTGATCCAAATAAATGGACTTGGTATAATTCCAGCCCTTTCTGTTCACGCTGAGAGGGTTCGTGAAAACGACGTCGCTCTCGTCGTATTGCCGGTGCAGAGTGCTCTCGTTCGCGCCGATTTTGTACCCGATGTATTCCAGGCCCATTTTCACCGCCGGTTTCTCGCAGTAGTTCTCCGCCGCCCAGTCGATCCCGACGGGGACGATCTGGATGAAGACGGAGCCCGGCCGGAGAAACATGAAGTGCGTCAGCGCCGCGCCGTGGACTCCGACCATGGCGTCGCTCGAATTCAGAATCTTGTACATCCTCGCCAGCTCCGTCCTCCGGTCCGGCACCAAAACCTCGACCCGGAACCCGATTTCTCCGGCCAGTCTCACCAGATCGATTTGGTTCAGTATCATCCTCGAATCGTTCCTCGCCATTACCACCAATTTAGGGTTTCTTGGTTTCTTAGATTCCTCCCCCGCCAGATCTGATTCTTCTTCTTCTTCAATGATTTCTCTGATCCGGGTCGAATAAGCTCTGTCCAGGAAATCTCGGAAATCTTGGATTGTTGTATTGTCTTCCGTCAAATTGAGATCGATTTGGAGGTCGTCGTGGGCTCTGAGCCCGACGACGGCGCCGGGGAAGCAATGGGTTCGGTTGTCTCGCCGGAAGTCTATGACTTGGTGGTCGGAGAGGGCGCTGAGGATTTCGTTGTATTTGGTGACCCACCACCGGTGGTACTCCAAAATGACGAAAATAACCCTGCCGTTGAAACGCCGGGCGGTGATGAAGAGGGGGACAATTGCGTCGGTGAACTCGTGGAAGAGGTTCCCGTTGTACCCTCCCGTCGAGAAGAACAGGCCCGGGACGTCGTGCCGGACGTCGCAGCGGTGATTGCCGGCGGCGGCGGAAGTTCGAGCCTTCACGACGAGACCGAGTTCGTCGATGGTGGACATGATGCTCCTTTCGCGCTTTCTTGTGTACGGCCTGATCTTCTCGAGCTGGATCTCGCGGCCGTCGCTTTGGTCGGAGTTACCGCCGAAAGTTGTTCCGAAGACGGTGATCGTCGACGACTGAGAATTTGTCCGTACATCCCCTGCCATCGAGCACACATCGGATCGGACGAAACCTCTGTCGCAGAATATGGTCCCTATCCAATTTCAACAAAAAAAATCAATTTTAACATCAACAAGAATATATTGACACCAACTATTGATGTTATATTATGACACTGCATATTTAGAATATTAGGGGTCTCATTCACCATTTTACGGACAGTAAATGGATGAAAAATGGATAAAAAATACTACTCCTCCCGTCCTAAGAATTTCTTCCCAAACAGTTTTCATATAATTAAACTTTAATTATTTTTTTACCTATTTTTTGAACTCATTTGATAAAATAATATAGTCGTGTTAATTCTTATTTTGTAGAATTTTTGATGTAATTTTTAAATATATAATTTTTTTTTGCTTTTTAATTTGATACTTATAATGAAATAAATTGAATTAAATTTAATTTTAGTCAAACTTTATAAACTGAATTAGGAGAGAATTAGGACAAAGAAAGTAGATTGAATATTAGGGGTCTCAACCATCATTTTACATCTGGATGAAAAATAGATAAAGAATAATAGATGAATCCCAATTTTAACTTCACTTTTAACTTCGACAATATTTCATGTCTATAAGAAGAATGAGGTCAAAATGGGAATACTCAAAAGTGGATATATACTCTGTAATAGTCTGTATTTTTTGAGGGGTTTGGCATAAGGAAAAAATAAATGTCACTAACCGTTGAAGACAATGGAATAATGGATGGATGCATCATCCTCTTTAAGAGAAGGCTTCTCATCTTCAAACCTGATAGAATCTGCACAACCATTTACACAAACAAATTTTATGTACTTGCAATATTTATATATTTTTATAATAATACCAAAACAAATTGCAATTGAAAAACACCAACACAAAAACAGAAAAAGAGGAAAAAAAAGCGAGATTATATTATAAATTTAAAATAACATACACAAGAGGGAGACTATTGGAGAAGAGAAGAAGAGCTGAGCTGCAAGAATAAAGCTGCAAGATATAAAAGAGAGAAAGAAAAGGTACAAAAACTTGGGTTTTGTTATAATGTTGATATGATTATTATTATTATTATAAGTATAGTCTTCATCATCATCAACAACATCATCCCCTTTCTTCAACAATTGATAGCTTCTTTGGTAATGCACCATTTCTTTTGAATGCCTTTCTAGGTGTAAATGTTTGAAGTGTATGTATATCTAAAATCTAAAGATTTACTTCAAGAATCATACTCTCGTGATCTTTAAATAATTGTTCGTTGTGAATATTTAGAATCAATGAATGTGTGGATGTCATTTGTCTATGTTCGTTTCATTTTGACTCAGAATATATATAAAAAAATCATAAGAGAGTACTAGTTAAAAATGGAAAGACTATTCGTAAACTAGTTATAGTATAATAGGGAGTAGTATTATTTCTCAATTCTCTCACTCGATGATACATTTCATACCCACATTATATGCCAATGATATTAATGTAGATTCAATGAACAATAACTTTAAAGAAAATCAAAATGATTGGACTATATTTGATTCAATGATTCGTGCACGGCATAAGTATGGTGCAAATAGCCACAAGTCCGGCTAATTAGCTACTAGAGAGTACCAAGTAAGTCCTTCTATGTGCTTATAAATTGGTCAAAACTGCTTATAAGCAGTTTTTAATTTATAAGTCGGTTGATGATATGTTTCAGTATGCTTATAAACCATAAAAAATAAGTAGGTCTTTGCTACTTACTTTTAAGCTCGTTTTTTTGTTTCTCCATTTTGATTAGATTATTTACAAAACTATTCCTCACCATTTATAAATATTAAGAAATAGTTTATCTATCACTTAAGTTATTATACTTCCACAAAAGAGTATTTGACTCATAATATTTATTTACTTGCTCCATAGTTTCTCCATTTTGACTTGATTATTTACAAAACTGTCCTCACCATTTTGCTCATCACCTTCATACCATTTTATTTTGGGAGCTCCAACATTTAAATTTTACTCATAATATTTATTTACTTGCTCCATAGTTTAGATTCTACCTCATTGATTCTCATATTTGCCTTTTATTTATTTACACTCTCTTATCTTTTTATGCATCCTTTATATTTTAGTATGGTATGCTAGATTTTTTGGTGTAGGTTATTGGTGACAGATAGTTGACATGTATTTATTGTCATTAAACTGTTGTGGATTGTGTGATCTTGATCTAGGTTGTTTGTGGAGTTTGTGCTTTATTTAGACTTGTATCTTGTTTTTTGGCCATTATGGCATAGTTGTGAAAATGGTTTCTAAATCACCAACTCCTTCCAATTTCTTCTAACAACGACTTAAAAACGTATTTATATATGATGAATCACCAAGGTTCAAGTGACATTAAACCTTGATGTCATGTGATGACCCGGGGGCACTCTGGTGCCCCGTTCGTAAAATTGACGGTTCCTACCCACCTAACCCCCGGAAAAATCCCCTCACCCGGCCCCAACCCGAACACACCCCCCCACCCCCTTCAATTGCACCCCACAAGTTGATTTTGACTTTGGAGTCAAATTTTGACTCCAAAGTCAAAATCAACTTGTGGGGTGCAATTGAAGGGGGTGGGGGGGGTGTGTTCGGGTCAAGGCCGGGTGGGGGGGTTTACTGGGAGGGTTAAAGGGGGTAGGTATCGTCAATTTTATGAATAGGGCACCGGAGCGCCCCTGTGTCATCCCATGACATCAAGGTTCAATGTCATTTGAACCTTGTCCATGATGAATATACACTAACATTATCCGAATTTATAAAATACCCCTTCAAACACAAACAATGATTAATTCTTTTTTGTCCAATGTTGAAGTTTTCTTACATATTTATTTGGGTGATCATTTAATTGAGTAACTATTTAACGCTTAAATTCTTCCAACATTTTCTAATTTCTTCTAATTTTTTCCAACTTTTTCTAGTTTCTTCTAACATCCACTCTGAAATTGTAATCCAAAAGAACAGAACCATAGTCCGTGAGGGATCAACTATGGAATAATTTTCAAAAATTAGGGACAATTTTTATAATATATCTTAATTAGGGACTTAATATATGGACAATCACATATAATTAGAGACTATTTATGAGATTTACTCTTATTATTATAGTAATAATTATTACTATTGTTATTGTTATCATTATTATTTACTCATTAATAATACAATATCTTATTAGTTGAGAAAAGTCATTATTTTTAAATGTGGATCGAAATCATTATTGTTTATTTTTTCTATTTATGAGCTTTTAAATTTATATGTATGTTCTTTTTGAATAAAGTTGTGATACGGAGTATATTTTACACAAAGTTCATTTCAATATTTGAATTATGAATGCTTTTTTTGTACGATTTTGTTATAATATGATATTGTATGGTTTCGTTTTTAAATAGGAAACTATCAAATGATTTGAGATTGATTTGGTGCTATCATAAAAGTGCGACCCACTCATTCTTTTATGTCAAAAATGCCAATGTCTTTTAATTCCTTTTATTAGTGCAAACTAAAATTATCCTTCAGATTGTTTTTTCTTGGTCAAAATTTTTAACTTAAAACATAAAATATAAGAAAATTATATTAAATTATGATATAAATTTAATATCAATTGATTTATTTTGAAATATATAGTTGTAGAGTATCATATTTTTATAATACAGAGTATAAAATTAAATAAAGGTCAAGTAGAAAAGTGAATTAAAGACCATAAAAAAGCAAAAATAAAGAAAACTATGGCAAGAAAGGAGTGCCATTGAACTTTCTCAAATGTTCAAAAGTGCCACTCAATTTTTTCAAAAAGACATAATTATTTTGTTTTCCGGTGAAATATTTGTTCTTTTTTAAAAAGTTTTTTTAAAAAAGGTTTTCTTATTATTTATTAACAGATATGTTTCTTGTCAATTTTTTTACCAGCAACTCAGTACTACTCTCTCTGTCATAGTTTAAGTTGCATATTAACTATTCACATGGATAGTTAAATTCTAACCACGTTCTTGACCAATTTTTACGATCTATTTAAGAAAATAATATAGTCTTGTTATCTCTTGTTTTATAAAATTTTTAATTTACTCCACTTGTCCTGAAATAACCTTTCCGATTTGATTTGGCACTATTTTTAATAAAGTAAACTGTTGGTGGTTGTTGTTTATATAGAAGAAAGAGAATTGATATGCACCACATATTTATTTCTTTAAAAAAAGAGAAACTTTTTTTGGGACAATCCAAATAGAAAAGGAGAAAGATAATTATGAGATAGAATGAGTAGTTTTATAATTCTTTACCAATTTTTAAATAAATTAAATTAAAATAACTTCAATTAAACATCGTAAACAACAACATGCAGTCTTTTTGGGAGGACGGGAGTATATTAGAAAAAAATCAATTTTGTAAAAAAGAAAAGTGCACCGTTTATCCCTGAATTCTTTAAAAATTGCACGGTTTTACCTTTGAACATAAAAAAGTACAAACCTATCAAGTCTAGGGTGTATTCTATCGAGAACCGGTCAAGTATAGTTTACCCGGTTAGGTAATTTACACCATCACAAAGAATTCGGAGCAAAAGGGTTCACTTTTTCTCATTTTGTAAAGAGCAATGCTAGGTTATACCTTTACACCAAAGGTGTACCTCATTTGTCCCCCACCCCATTCTCCATCACATATTTTTATTTCATTTTTAATTATTTATTTACTTTTAAGTTTTTTGCCCATTTACCACAAACATTTTTCTTTTGTAAAATATGCTTTCGCAATTCGGTTTGATAGGTGGATCTTTTTATGTAACCGGGCCGGATCCCACCGCAATGGGAGGGTTAGGTTTGTCTATATATAATCCTACGACCTGCTTGAAATCCCTCTCTCGGCAAGAAAGTGAAGCCCAGAAAAGCTGCCAATTTTCTGCGGCATATTCGTGTGGTTTACGAAATATCTATACGAATTCGGATCCAATGGCGGACACATACTGCACCGATTGCAAGCGGAATACGGAGGTGGTGTTTGACCACTCCGCCGGCGACACCGTGTGCTCGGAGTGCGGCCTCGTCCTGGAATCGCGCTCCATCGACGAGACCTCCGAGTGGCGCACCTTCGCCGACGACTCCGGCGATCACGACCCGAATCGTGTCGGAGGACCCGTCAATCCGCTTCTCGGTGATGTCGGGTTATCCACCATTATTTCTAAGGCTCCCAATGGCAACGGCGACGCTTCGCTCTCCAGGTTGCAGCATCGCGGCGGCGATCCTGATCGCGCCCTTCTCATGGCTTTCAAGGCAATTGCTAACTTGGCAGAAAGGTCTGTCTTTACAGACGATGAGTACTTACTGATATTCATTGTAATGCTGGTTTACAGGGGAAGACCACTTCTATTAAAAGATTAATCCTGATACAAATTTTACAAGTGAGCTAATCAACTTAAAAATTAAGCATGACTGTAAGAAATTGACCAATCATTTGTTATGATAATTAATTTCAATGCTGTTGTTTAACTTTGAGTTGAAACTATCGGGAAACGGATGATAATTGACTTGATGATTCCACTTTTTCATCTGGAATATGATGTCTGACATGTCTGAAAACTGGATCCCCTTTGTCTATTCTATCAGTGGTGTTTATGCAGCTGTTTTTTTGGTTTAAGGTTTGGAAGTTAATGACTGATCTATTTTTGATCTAATGTTTTAACTGATCTTGTTTTTTGTTTTCCAGGTTGAGCCTTGTGGCTACTATAAAGGTAGATGCACTTGTTCAAAACACTTGATTTTTGTTGTTCCACACTTGGACCCTATGTCATCGTAACCTGTGCATTTTAGATTTGGATCTTCTCTATTAGATTTTGTCAAATACTCAATGAGCATAGTAATTCTTTACATTCGAATGTGTTCCCATCTTTCATTATTACTAGTTCATTTAGTTTTTTAATTAAAAAATGTATTAGTACATTTTAAACGGATTAACTTAATTTGGGGATCGTCCAGTAAGAGCCACTAAGAGGTCTCATGTGAGGTTTTAGCTTTTATTTGTTTTTCTATTGTTTGGGACTTGGGTCATGATTGGGATATCTTAGTCCAAGCAGTGGCGGTCTATGAATGAGTGTTGTCCTTTATTTTCATAACATCCATTCCTACACACAATGGTGTGCAATGTGGAGGACCGCAAGTACTCCTCTGACAATGCCATACGATTTGCAGAATCGGGCAAGTGAAATTTATAAACGGTTAGAAGACCAAAAGTGCACAAGAGGAAGAAATCTTGATGCTTTGACTGGTGCCTGCATTTTTATCGCTTGCCGACTAGAAGGGAAACCTCGCACTGTAAAAGGTTCTGCCAAGTTATTTGAGCGTGTTTGGTATTTACTGATTCACCCAATCAAGTGGAATTGTCTGATCTTGTGGGTGTTGATTAGAAATTTGCTCAGTTTCCAATGGCGTAACCAAGAAGGACATTGGCCGAGCAAAAGAGTTTATTGTGAAACAATTGAAGGTTGAAATGGGAGATTCAATGGAGATGGGAACTATACAGGCAGAGGACTACCTGGTAAAATTTGAGACCCTAACAAGCTTTTGTTACAAAACTTGATGGATGCTCTGGGTGTATATCTTTGTTCTTCATTGTCTACTCATTTTATGGTACAATCTGCTATTGATTGGCATATGCTATGCATTGTTATTAATATTGACAATTTTTGCATGTGCTAAATCAAGCAGAGACGTTTTTGTTCCAATCTTGGTATGAACCATGAAGAAATAAAAGCAGTTCAAGAAACTGTCCATATGTCCAGGGAGTTGGATATTAGGTACGTTGATGCTCTCTGTTGACTGCTCATTCTTGTTTTGCACTTGCTTTGATAATTATTTAAGCCAGAACGATTTTTTCCTCCAAAAGTTTGGTGATTTTTTTAAAAGTGTTGTAGCTTGGAAGCTGTCCTTATAAAACAACTTGAAGGTCATAGTTATCAAAATGTGATTCCAACCCTCAGCACCCAGTTAGTTAAGAAAACAGTCTCACAATTACCTTAGTACCAAACATTTCTACATTTGCAGAGCTTTATACTCCCTCCGTCCATAAATGTTTTTTTCTTAATTACTACCCTCACCTTTATACTCCCTCCGTCCATTAATTACTATCCTCACCTTTACATATTAATTACTACCTACCCTTACACTTTATTTCTCTTTTTTCAATTACCCAAGGACAAGTATAGAAAGTCTAAATATTCTTTACTTTTCCTTAATCTGCGTGTGAAGACAAAGAGGGAAGATAAAAAAACAGGCCGAGGGAGTATCATTTATTTCCAAACATATTTTTTTTCTACAGAACAGCTCAACACACCTCTTATTCACAGCTCAACACCTTATGACATTAATGCCAAAACTATTTGAATGTTATATGGTGTGCTAGAAACTAAGAGGATTTGTATGTGTAATTATACTATAGTTTGATGCCGTGCATGTATAACTCTCACTAGTTTTTGTATACAACGCTCTTGATTATCCTTCTTCTCAATATTTGCTCAGGAGAAGTCCTATATCTGTCGCTGCAGCGATTATATACATGCTCACCCAGCTTTCTGATCCGAAGAAACCCTTGAAAGGTTTACAAATGAATTGTCCTATTTTTTTAATGCAGTTGAACTATAGTGATCTCAAAAGTAATGCATAGGCCTTTGTTTTTTAATATCCCTAACCTGACATGTTTAACACCAACAAAACCATCGTATTCTCTTCCCTTAGATGGCATCTAAGTGTTATATTGAGGATATGATGCATGAATATGGTGTGTTTTGAAAAAGCTGAAAGTGCCAAAATATATAATCTACAAATTATAGCCTCTTGATTTTTCCATTTTGTGTTCATCTTTTTCTAACCAAGTACTCTATAACAAACTAATATTTTCTTTTCTTTTCAATAGTTTTTGCACAAAACCCATTCATTATTTCAAAACCCAAATCTGTTTTTAAACCAAAAAGCACGTTTTCTAAATACTTCACAAACCGTGTATCCCATCACCCTCTATCTATTTAGTCGAATGCGTGTACACGTGCAGATGTATCTCAGGCAACTATGGTCGCAGAGGGGACCATCAAGAATGCGTATCGAGATCTCTTTCCACATGCTCTGAGGATTTTACCCGAATGGTATGTTAACGGCAAAGACACCAAGAACCTTACCAGTCCTAAGGCATGAAAAGCTTTGGAGTTTGGAGAGTGGCAATAGACATTATTGTTTATACAGTGACATAGCTAGCTAGTTAAATGGTTCTTGCTCTTTAGTGTCATTTTACTAGCTAGTTAAATTCTGAATCACATTTTACTCTTGGAATGCAAAAGCTGTTGAATTGGAACAGAATTATCATAAACTCCTTGAACTTATCTAAATCTCACTCCTATCCCATTAAAAATAGTCATGTTTCTCAAACCTGTTTTAAAAGTCTAGGCCTATTTGGTGTTTTGTAAGAGTTGTACAATACTAAAATTCTAAAGTTGTACACAGAAGAGTGGACTTTTTTTTATGGGATAGAAAGATTTGGCATACTTTCCTAAAAGTTGTACACTCATAAGAGTGGACTCTCTTGACTTTGAGTAAGATGTACCATCTCTAGTGGACATATAATAGTCATATTCTTTTTTACAATTTCCTTTTCATCATTGTTCATTAATAATGCTTTGCACATTACTATATTTCTTTGAATATTTTTGCAAAAAACATATTTCAAATAACTTTTTTCCATATTTTTTCATCTGTGTCACTTTCACTTACACAATTTTGCTACGGAGTATTTTTTTAACAAAGGTGATAAAAATTTCATTGTGGAACCTTTTTTGTGTGCGAAGGGAGTACAATTCATCTTGATTCTCACATTGAACCAAACATAAAATTCTATTTTGTGCAATGAGACCATTATTATTGAAAGAAAAGTACAATATGAAAGATAAAATGCAAACTGAATAAACTGAGTTTATTCATCTGGTGATGTGGGCAATGAAAGACTCAAGCTCCATGCGAGAGGCACCTCCTTCCTGCACTGATTTTCTGACATTTTCACCCAGCTCTTGAGCTCTCCTCCTCATCTCATCTCCTTCTTCTGAAGCCATGAGTTTTCTCACGACGCCCGCAACGGTCGACGACTTCACCAACTCTTTCCGGTCCGCCCACTCGCGAACCATCGCCCCGGTTTTGAGTATGTTTGCCACCAAGAAGGCGTTGCTGGGCTGGTCGGAGTGCATGGGCCAAGCTGCGATGGGAACTCCGTGCGTGATGCTCTCGATGCACGAGTTCCACCCGCAGTGGCTCATGAATCCTCCCGTTGATGGATGGGCCAGGATCTCGGGTTGCGGGGCCCACTCCCGGACGACAAGGCCCGTCCCTTTGACCATCTCTTCAAACCCCTCGGGCAACTCAATCGTTCTCGGTTTCCCCGAGAAGATGTTTCCTTTGTCCGCGTCTCTCAAGACCCAGATAAACCTTTGTTTGCTCTCTTGCAATCCCATCGCCAGCTCATGTGCCTGAACGTCTGAAACCGAGGTCATTGTCCCGAACGAAACGTACAAGACCGAGTTCTCGGGCTGTCTATCTAGCCAGTCTAGGCACGGGTAGTTCGAGACCTCTTTTGGGGTCGAGTTAGACAAGTTCGTGGGGAGTATAGGGCCGATAAACCATTGTTTTCGGCCCTGACTACACTCGTCCCGCGCCAGTATATCCGGGAACGGTCCCTCGATCATTCTGCTCGTGTTATGAAGATTGCCGGCTCTATGGTTAAAGAACTCCTGTTGAGCGGCTCCGAACCTCCGGAGATCCGGGCTCATAGAGTCCTCCAGACCCGGCATCTTCCCCCAAAGCTCTTCCTCAATCGGGAAGGGCTTTTCGGGCGTCCTCTGGTACGCGAACGCGAGGAGGGAGAACGCGGATATGCAGTTGAAGCAATAGGACTCCGCGTTCCCTATGGAGGCGGCGTCTTGCACGATGGAGGACATCCCGTGGTCGTGGACGACCACAACCCTTCGGGATCTGGACGCCAGTTCCCGAAGGACGGCCGCCACGGGGTGGCGCAGGTGCTGGGACGCCGCCTCCCAGACAGGGAGCAAGTGTGAGGGGAACTTGATGAGGGCAGTGGGGTCAGGGGAAGGGCAGAGGAGGTCAGGAGGGGTAGGGAGGTCATGGAAATGGACTTTGGCTATTGTGTTGGGATCTAAACCATTGGCTCTCACTCTGGCTTGCTGGTTATGTATGGAAAAGCCCAGGTAGTGAGCTTGGAGGCCATGGGAGGAAATAAGACAGCAGAGCTGGAGAAGCTGGTTGAGATGCCCTTGAGCTGGAAGGGGCACCACCACCACAGCAACCCCACCGCCGCCGCCACAAGAGTTGCTCCGGCCTTCCATCTGATTATTTATGTCCTTTTTACCCTTCAAACTCTTTCAAATATATCTCTGGTTTTCTTACTTCTAGTTTACACCGCAGGAATGAATTTCGATATTTATAATACCCCCACCCCTCCCTAGTCCACCTTTTAATCATTTAGGAAAATAATTGGGATAGTACTCTACTTCATACTAATACCATTCCTATTTTGACTTGACCAAAATAAGGAAAATGTAATTTTGGTTGACTTTCCAATTTTGTCCCTGATGTGATAGGTAAAAGTAAGATGTGATAGTGTAACTATTAGTGAAAAATATGATGTGATAGGTAGAGTATGAAAAAGTATGGATAAAAATGGTTTTTAATAGAAAAATGAATTGTTTTAAGGATTTGAAAAAAAAATGAAAGATGAAATGTGACTAGATTCATTCATTTTATATGTGATGGACACTTAATATGTGATGAATGCAGTATTTAAGTTTAGTTTTATTTTTAATTTTGATCATATAAAGTGAAGCTCCGATTATGAGACACTTTGATTTGACATTTTCGTTCCGTCCCACCAAATTTTTCTTTTTTCTTTTTTTCCATCCATCCGTTCTAAAAAATCATTCTCATTTGTATGAAAAAGTTGCTTTTATCTTTACCAATTTTTAATCTAGCTATCACATTACACTTTTCTACTATTAATCTATCCATCACATTCAATAACATTTTTGGAAAATCAACACTAAAATGTGAGACGGAAGATATAGTTTTAAAAATGTGTTGAAAAAATAAACAGTGAGCGTTGAATATGAAAGTAAAGGAGTGTGAATTTTCTTTTAAAGATAAAAAAAGAAAGTGTATAAATTAATTAGGGACACAAGAATATATTTTTAAAAAAATAATGGAAAAAAGTTAGGTCTAAAAGGATCTAGATGTGTGCTTCCAATAAGTGAGATGAACTCTTGGGAAACTTCCTAAACTGAAGACTTCGTATAACAGTTAAATTGGTCCGTATTTCATTGTCTTCTGACAGCTAATTAATTTATCCATATTTTGTTTTCCCAATGCTTTTGCTGAAAAATTAGCACATTTTTTTGCGGGAGATGCTAGGAGTAGATCAAAGTTGTACTCCAAATGTACACCACCTCACTCTTTACCACTAATTTGACGATGAAAGATAAATATATGTGTCACATGAAAACGTGCTAGAGTTGAATTAGATAATACTCCCTCCGTCCCCCAGTTTTTGTCTACTTTTGACTTTTGGAACTGTTTATCTAAGCACTTTGACTTTTGGAACTATTCATCTAAGCACTTTGACTCATCAAATTCTCTCCATGTGTAAGCTTAAATATAGTCATGTGTGATCTTGTTTGATTTGTCTTAACATATAGATTATTAATATATAATTTCTATAATTTTTTAATATACAAATTACAAGATAAAATGAATTAAAGAAGTACATTGGATGGTGTGTAAAAATGAAAGTGGACAAATACTCTGGGACGGAGGGAGTATGTTTTGGATATAATCACTATTCCAGCACTTGAAAAAGGGTGTGTTATTTGAGAGCGTAACTCAAGTGATCAATATATGCTGCAAAAAAGGACGTTGTGGTTGAGTTCGACCATAACAAAGATAGGGTGAGACCTTTTATGCTTTGCATTAGGGAAGTCTGGGACTAGAGACATATACGTTCACTTGAGATTAAAGTTTTTTTCCAATAAAAATACTTTCTAATAATATTCCATCCATCCTAAAACTAACTTTGGCGTTTTACAATATTTGGCTGAAATTATTTTCAATAAAATTTAATTAAAAATTGGTATGAAACTTTAAAATAAATTTATATATTTAAAAAAAATTAAAAGATGTATAAAACTAGAGATGACACGATTATATTTTTTTTATTAAATAAGTAACAAAAATAAACTAACAAAGTAGCTAAAATTTAACCTATTGAATAGTAAATGAAAAGTTAGTTTTACGACGGAGTGAGTATTATTATTATTATTATTATTATTATTATTATTACAGAGTATTATTTTTATTATTTTATTATTACTCCACTTGTCCTAAAATGTTTTTTCCAGTTACTATTCACACGATCAATCTTTAATTATTTTTTTTCACATATGTTCCTTAGTTATTTGATAAAATAATATAGTCTTGTCACTCTTGTTTTGTAAAACTTTTGATATAGTTTTTAAATACATAAATTTAATTTTTTAATTTTATAACTACAATCAAATAAAATGAATTAAAAATAAAATTGGTCAAACCTCGTAAACAAAAATGGAAAAAATCTTTTAGAACAGAGAGAGTAGTATTTTATCAAATAATTAATGAAAAATACAAATTAACAAAACTTCTTGAGAAATTTTTACCGTATGCAAACACTGTTTTTTGAGAATACTTCATCATTTGAAAAAATGTCTTCTATGTTACGGAGTATTATTAAAGGATTGCAATAACTTTTGTGTATTTGTATAATTAATTTATACTCCCTCCGTCCCAAATTATAATGTCTGTTTACTATTCACAGGGTCAAACTTCATTCACTTTCTTTCTCTATTTTCGTTAGCAATTTGATAAAATAAAATATTATTGTCACTACTAGTTTTGTAGATCTTTTGATGTAGTTTTTTAATATGTAATTTTTATTTTTTAATTCTATACCATTTGTCATATAAAATGGTTTGAAAATAAGTTCAGTCAAACATCGTAAACCGAAACAGGCATTATAAATTGGGACGGAGGTAGTAATGATTATGTGATATAATAAAACATATTATTGTCATATCTTCTTTTATAGTACTCCCTTTCTTCCAAATTAAATTGAATGTTTACCATTCACAAGGTCAAGATTCATTCATTTTCTTTCCTTATTTTTGTTAGTCATTTAGTAAAATAATATAATCATGTCAACACTAGTTTTGTAGATCTTTTAATGTAGCTTTTAAATACGGAGTATGTAACTTTATTTTAAAATCCTACGCTATTTTTCATATAAAATGATTTGAAAATAACTTCAGTCAAACATCGAAAACCAAAACAGACGACTTAAATTGGGACGGAGGGAGTAGAACTTTTGGTGCAGTTTTAAAATATGCAATTTATACTTTATATTTTAATGCTAGTTTGTGAACAAAATAATTTTTAAAAAAAGGTAAGCTTTTCACATTTTTTGAAGCGAGACAAAATTTTTGGGACTAATCTTTAGTTTGATTCGAGAGAAAAAAGAATTTGATTATACAAGATGACAGTTTTGTCCTTGTTTTATTTTAAAGAACCTAACAATTTGAAGGAATAGAGGTAAGAAGTAATCTTGGAACATTATCTCTTCCATTATTGCGAGAGAAATTTTTGTTTTTTTTTTCATTAGCCAAACAAAGAAAAATGCTTTGAAAAAACCTATTTTCTCTGAAAATCGTGTTTTTTTTCTTCTTAATCGCCGAGTAGTGAATTTTTTCAAAGTTCAAAAACGCCATTTCAAAAGCAAGTCACTAGCTAATATACTCCGTACTACACACACACACACGTCCTCTTCTAATTTTGACACATACTTTACCATTTTTGATATTTTGATTAATGTTATTTTTGATTTATTTTACCAAGAGTAAATAATATTAATGCAAATTAAAACTAATATTCATAACTATATTTAAAAACTACAGAATATATCAAAAGATTTATAAACTAAAGACCAGAATAAGAGACCAGCATAAGTATATATGGAGTACTTTCGTCTCAAAGTTTTTTTATAGCGTTTTCTTAAACGCGTGGTATCAACTTTTACAATTTTTTATCACAAATGATGGAAAAATATATTTAATTATAATATAAATTTAATATAATTAGATTTATTTCAAAAAGTATTTTTGATACATCAATTTTTTGTAACATTTGTTTATTTAAAAATATACATATTAATGGTTAAAGTGTGCATCAATTTGACCTAAAAGTTAAAATGTTTTGAATATCTTGGGACGGTGGAAGTATTTTATCAAATACTCAGGGTAATAAATAACAAAGTATATTACTCCCTCTATCTCGAAATGTTTGTCTTGTTTTGATTTTTTGTAATTAACTAATATCAACTTTTGACCTACACTTAAACAAAAATTATATACTCCTTAATATTTTAACTAAATAAAATAATATTTTGATTACACTTTACAAGAAAAGCTAAAAATTATTGTTGTATTGATAGACAATATGTCAATATCTATCAATTTTTATTTAATTAATGATCTAATTGTCGAAGTATCAATTTTAAGTGCAAAAAGTTAAAACACATGGGCAAATTTGCACCATGGACCTACATGAGTCAAATAAGTAAATCCCAACTACTTTGATAAGCATCTGTTTAAATTTAGAATTAAAAATTTTTAAAAATATTTTTTATACGAGAAAATGAACAGAAATGGTATGCACACACAGACACACAGTACATTGTAGAAACACTCTAAAAGATGACATATACTTCATCCATTTTATACTCATAAAACAATAAACTACAAACCCAATTTTTTTTGAAGGAACAAATCCAAATTGATATTTATCAGAATTTTTACCCGACCTAGAGTCTAAAAATTTCTCATTTTGATAAAAAAAAATAAAAAATAAAGCACTTTCCAGATTACAGTACTTCCCACATGCTCATTTATATTGAAAGTGTTCAGTGCTTGATTTTAATGGAAGTGCTCACCACCATTTACTAATTCGCTCTCATAAAATTTCTAACATTTTGAGTTCACGAAATTTAAAAAAAATGTTATAAAAACTTAAAAGACTGTTTAAAATTTATTTAGAAGAAAGAGAATAGTTGAGTCACATACAAAGCACTCCCTCCATTCCATATTAATTGTCCATTATGAGTTTTTACATTCGTTAAAAAATGAAAGAATGTCAACATAAAATATATCGACATTCATTTTTTTAATGTATCTGAAAAGTGTTAATGAACAGTTGATATGGAATTGAGAGTATTCATTACCAAAACAAATAATAATAAAAATAACAATAAAAACAACAACAATAATAATACTCTCTTTGTCCATTAATTTCTTTTTCACCTCATGCCTAAAATTCCTTTCATATTTCTTATTTTGGCAAAAACTTCTTAGTGAATGTGCCATTATACTCCCACATTTTATCTATACTATTCACTTTAATCAATCACATCAAGGGCAAAACATGAAAATCTTTACACTTTTTACCGGAAATTTTTTTTTGGACGGAGGGAGTAACAAATAAAATAAATAATCAAGCACAAAATGTTTAAGGAACACCTGGGTAGTGAACGCACCATGTTAGTTGGTGAACATAAACCGCCAAGGTATTCCTAATAAACACTCAAAAAAAGAAATTTAAAAGAAACAAATGATGCTCTAAGTATCCAAAACACAATCTAGGAATCAAAGGAAAGATGACCATATATAAGAAGTTGAGAAACTCCATTTTTACACTTCTACTTTATGTTAACAAAACAATGCTCATTTTACTCTCAGCTAGTGAGCTTGGCAAAACTCCAAACAAGATTAATTAAGATTCAGCTCATGTAATATTAACTGCCCTCCCGACGCTGCCCCCCGCTCCCACCCAAAGTCTGGAGTTTAGGGGTAAGATGGTCAAATTATCAAAAGTTTCGACAAGCTAGAGGATATCATTCATGTATGTATGTGCTCTCAGAAGAATTATTCTTGTGATTTTGCAACCTCACACTATTTATACCAACCGGTGAGAAGCCACCTTAGAAGAAAACAGAAGCAACAGCAGATCCCCTGTTGGAATCCATATAAGACATATATGAATTTAATAACTAATTATGCCACACATAAGAAAGAGCTAAATGCATAAATTTGTTTCTTCCATTCACATAGGCCTTGTTGTAGAAAATAGTTTGTGTTTGTGCTTGAGAGTAAACTTGGAAAAATATGCAAATTTAATTAGATGAGAAACCTATTAATTACCTGGAAAAGTAGTAATACAATGCAGAGGGACTGTTCCGACATTCTACCAAGCTGTCTTAAGCAGAAGTTTACCAATGTTCCATCGTTTGTACCAGTCAGTAGCCCGGTCTGAGGATCAAACCTGAACAGGCGGTCTCCCAATATAAGATTATTTTGTTGTGAATATTTGATGAATTAGGGAATTGAATTAACTTACTTAGGGAGTCGATGCCGTGGACAAGGGATAATCCCAGCTAGCTGACAGAGGACATTGGAGAAAGTTATGTGAGGTTTTTTTTAAAACAGAAGCACAAATATTCTTTCCACTAAAGGAGAGTATACATCATACAACTAACTGACTTCAAAGCCAATCCCAAAGAAAGTTTGGGAACTCGTAATTTCTACTCCCTCATCCAAAAATTATTTTCTCGTTCACTATTCACATGGTCAAACTTCATTAACTTTGTTGGCTTATTTTCGTTACTCATTTGATAAAATAATATAGTCATGTCACCTCTAGTTTTGTAGATATTTTAATATAGTTTTTTAATATGTAATTTTTATTTTTAAATTCTACACCATTTTTCATATAAAATGATTTGAAAATAATTCCAGTCAAACATCGTAACGCGCAACGGGAAGATAATTTGGACGGAGGGAGTATTAAACTGTTCCGCTCTATTTTTTTAAAGGAATCTGTGAATGGGGAAGGGTACCTGAGGGAGTGACATCAGGAAGTTCAAAACTTGCGGAGTGAAAAATATCAGAAGCGTTTCGCTGGAAAAATATATATAAAATGAGAAAAAGTTATGCTAATGACCTTTTCTTGTATGAAAGCAGCCAAACAAATATCTGTACAATGTGATCAAATGTATGCATGCTCCACATAATATAACAAATAACAATAACTAACTCGATAAGCATGTATGTTCCATGGTCCAACAGTCTATAAATGAAGTTTAAAGCTTATATTTCACAGCATAACAGTTGCAGCATATTTAACTGCATATTGTATCCCAAACCCTTCCTCATTCGTGTCTAAATTATAGACACACTCTTGTGGATTGAATGATGTTATTAGTGTGATATTTCAAGTCTGCAATTCAGGTGGAATGTATTCGCAATCAATATGGCGATGGAAGTCACGGAACGGAGTTTTGTCAAATTTAATTAGCATAAAATAAAAATAGCTTCTTCGAGTAGGGGCAAGGTCTGCGTACACACACCCTCCCAACCCTACTGTAGTGGGATTCACCTGGGTTGTTGTTGTTGTAAAATAAAAATAATATTTCATTTTTATCTTTTTCAGTTCTTTTTTTGTTCTTCGAAATATTTGTTCAAATATATTATCATCTACTCCATCTGTATCCAAACTAAATTCACACTTTCCTTTTTCATTGTTCTCAAAATAAAGTCCACAATTCTTTTCACTTTTCAACACTTTTTCTTAAACTTTGTGAAGTCCAACTACGAGTTTAATTTGGGAACTGGGGGAGTATATGAAATAGACATAGACTTGTATATGTAACCTAAGTAAGTTAAGAGAATAAAAGTAGATCATATTTCCTAGAATTTCAGTTCTTCTACAGTTGCAGTTATAATGTACTAAGTTTACATATCATTTTGTCTGGTGTAGGCACTATGGCTTATATAAGGCATTCTAGACTTCATATTTGTGAGGCTTCACAATACATTAAGTTCTATTTTAATCAGCATGAGGACACGACTTTGGCTCTCTTTCCGAGTTATTTGATGTGCATACTAAGGGCAAGGCAAAAATATCAGTGAAGAGAATTATTAAGATGGTTCATAGAGCAGGCAACTTTTAGAGTTTAAGAACAACAAACCTAATATAATCCCAAAAAAAGTAGGGTCTGAGGAGAGTGTGTGTGTGCAGACCTTGCCCCCACTCGAAAGTAGAGAGGTTCAAAAGATTGATGTAATTTCCACAAAAGATGCCCAGCAGCCGAGGAGATTAAAAATTATGCCATTTTAAAATTCATAAAGTAATTACCGTACATTGTTAGAAGAGAAATACATGTTGACATACCTAAAGTGGCCCAAAATGCCAACTACTGCCATAGTCATTCCAGCAAAGTATGTGAAGGTGTCACCAACAAAAACCGCAGAAGGATACCTATCATTGAACTTCCAGGATAAAACACAAGGATGGCGAACCACATAATTCTATGAAAAAATTGATAATCTCAAAGCAAAGTACTGCTATACCAATTGTAAGAAAGCAACGCCAATGAAGTGGCTATCAGTGGCTGTACAAGGTAAAGAGAAAAGGCATGTGCTTGTTTGTACTCAGGGTCAGTGGAGGCTCCAATTTGCATGATATTATGCATTAAAATCTACAAGTAATACTATATGTTAGGCTCCATTAATTATTTGAAAATTTTCAAATTCAGACATTTAAACGATCTAGCTTACAGCTGCTGCAATAACAACTGTCTGTCCTACTTCAAGGCCATTGATACCAGCATGTATATTGATTGAGTTTGTGCAAAATATGGCCAGGAGCCACATATATAGTTTATAAATCCATCCTGTCCATGTAAAATTTGGTAGAGGTATTACAAACGTATCAACCAAATACATTGTGTAACACTTGAAAAGTACTCGTTGAAGTGAAAAATAAGTCTACGTGTTATAATAGATGTGTCATATAAACCATAAAACTTGCCTAAATCCAGAATTTCTAATCCGACATATGAAACTAAAGGCTTTGGTATAATAATAGTTGTATGCCCAGCATATGCCATCAACAAAGGAAGAGCCGCAATAGATGGCAATAATAGTTTCCTGTCCTTTATACAAAAGTAAACTAAATAAGAATATTTTTAAAATTTGACTAAGAGAATCGCGTAAGCTTTCGATATATTACGTAGTACTCTGTATAAAATATGAGCATATTTTAACTTTTAAGTTCATGTAAAATAACTTACACTCTCCATGGTACATCAAGAACATCATCAATAAATCCAAGCAACAACATGAAGCAGATTGAAGCTAATGCAGCATTGTACTCAACAAGCCACTACAAACACAAAAGGAAATGGGTATAATAAAACTCAAGAAGATAAGGCTCATTGTTCAAATATGGAATTCTGAAAATGACCAAAAAATAAGTTCTCAAACTATATTTACAAGTGTGAGACAAAGTATTACCATACATTCTATACAAATGTGGAAATAACGCAGAGAAACAAACAAATGTGTCAACTCTCCTTCATTGTAGATTTATATGATGTTTCAAGGGCCCAAGGGGTACAATTGTACATATCCGAATGAGAGCTTAAATTGAGTAAGTTGACTATTAACAAGAGTACAAGATTATCGTTAGTTGAAGGCATAAGCAGGATACATTGCGGTTTCCACATTATTATTATTATTATTATTATTATTATTATTATTATTATTATTATTATTATTATTATTATTATTATTATTATTATTATTATTATTATTATTATTATTATTACATCTTTCTTGTTGTAAACCTCATCTGAAATAAAAACTTCAATTTAAAATTCACAAACTTATGGCCTGCAACCTCTATCCAAGATTCTTGAGCCATCAGGTATAGAAGATACTTTAAAAAGTCTTCGATACTTTTAAAAATAGCAGCATTCTGACTTTCTAGGCTTGGAACATGAAAACTTCGATTTTAAATGTATTCTTTTAACTACTCCCTCCGTCTCAGAAAGAATTTCCTGTTTTGATTAACGTGCAAAACCCCGTAGATTTTAAAATGATTTTATTTGAAAATTGGTATGGAAATAACACATAAAAAAATTATATTTAAAAACTACATCGACAACTCTACAAAATAAGAGGCGACAAGAATATTTTATTTTATCAAATTATCAATGAAAACACGCAAATAAATTGGAGTTATCGAGAGGCCGTAATAGTAAACAGGAAAGACTTTTTGGGACGGAGGGAGTACTTAGCACTAGAGTAGTACGAGATGGACAATCTCCCTCCATCTAGTACATAAGAAACTTTGAAAGCTTAGACGACATAACATTCTTTATGGGCAGCCCGGGCCCCGGTGCACAAAGCATCATTGCAGAGCGAGAGTCCAGGAAGGGTTCCCGCCATTAGGGTGTGATGTGGGCAAACCTTACCTTGCATTCTTGCAAGAGACTTCCAGGACTCGAACTTACATCCAAGTGTAGCAAACAGTGTTGAATCAATCAATCAATTACGTATCAAACATCACTTTTTGATACAACCTAACATTACTAATGCTGTCATGTGATAGCAACCAGTTCAGAGTAAACCACTTAACTGAGTGAGCAGTGAAACCTTTCCATTCAACAGATTGCGTGTCAGCATTACCCAGCCTTAGTTTTTCACTCTAATGTTGTTGCTTCTTATCTTTCTAAGACTCGCCAGTTAACATACATAGCATTTTGAAATATATCTTTCAAATTCCTTTACTATTTCCACTCAAACTAAGGAAAATAAAAGCAGGATACTTTACATACATTAGAATCGGCCGTGAAGTTAAAATACTGAAACAAGATAGCCACAACCAAGAAAACAATCCCAACAGCAATCCCCAGCGACTCAGGCCTGCAAAAAAGAGAACAACAAATTTTTCATCGACATAAATAGAGACAAAAATCCTATCAAATTGTAAGACAAGAATGAATAGAGGCAAGTTGCATAAAGGGCACTATAAAGGATTAGCCTTTAACATGCCAACATACATATCAGCAGTTAAAACAAACTAACTATTCACCTATCTCGAAATAGAAGTCTGCGAAAATGATGAAGAGATTTTCAATTAATTGCAGAAAAGAGAAGAGAATTACACTTTAATGGCGCCTTGAGGGGTGCCCCTCTTGTTGATATCATATCCGAACAGGTTCCTTCTGATAACATATTTGGAGGCCACAGGGATTATACCTAGGGTTAAAAAGTACCCGACCAAGCTTATTGCAGCATTAATGGCGATGGATCTGCGGAGCTCTGGCTCTATTCGATAGTGGTAGAAGATCAAGTAGAAGTAAGGAATCGCGAAGATCCCAGAGCATTTGAGCACAAATGAAGTTTTTGAAGGGGTGATCTTCGGCTCATCGTCACGTTTTGCAATCCGGGAGGGGTCGCCGGATTCCGCCGCGGCACTGGCCTGATCTTTTGAAGCTCGCTTCTTAACTACCATGGCGGCCACTTCAGATGTAATAAGTCTTTGTTTGGGTAGGAAAATTATACTGGATTCCCTTGTTTTCCTTATTTTTCCAGGGACGAAGCAACATCCAATGGCGTTTAAACACGTCAGATGTATTCGTCATGAGAGATTAGACATTATAATTAATAATACTTCTTTGGTTCCCATAACATTGGTAACTTTCACTCTAAAGTTAAAATCAACTAGTAGGGTGCAATTGAAGGGGTGGGGGTGTGTTCGGGTTGGGGCTGGATGGGGGTTATGGTCTTCTATAATTGAGATATATTTCCACTATAGTCGTTCCTAAATAATGTTACTCAAATGATGATTAATTATGATATATTTTTGTATTTTGATCATCTAAATTTAAAGTATATATTCTTAAAACAGTCATTTTTATACAAGTAAATGTAAAATTTAAAAAATACATTGACTATAAATAATTCTTAAATTATTTAAAACGTAGAAAAAATCTTTTAAATATCAAATCAAATACATATCTTTAATTAGAAAAACCATTTTAGGAAAGTACTTTATTATAAATGATTATTTTAAAAATTAATTCTAAATTTAGCGGATAAATAATACCCAAATACCCTCAATTAATCTTCATTTGAGTAACATTATTTACAAAGGACCATCTTGAAAATAGATCTCAATTATAGAGGACCGTGTAGATAATTAAAACTTATTGAGGACTGATTTGGAAAAACACTTTATTACAAAGGATTATTTTGGGAATTTACTCTTAGATATTTGATTTAACATAAATAGAGTTAATAGAATAAAATATACTCCGTACTAAATTGCTGGTATAAGTAAAGTATGAAATAGGGGTGTAAACGAACCGAATCGAAGCGAATACCGATATATTTGAATTTGTATTTGTTTAATTTTTTTGAATACGAATCCGAATCCGAATATGATACGAATTCAAAATAAGATTTGAATAAATATTTGATTAATATTCGAATAGTTATCGAATCATAAACGAATATTTGAATAATCATACTATGTAATTTATATGATGGACCAACATCAATTTGTAATTTAACTTACGATACTCTTTATACTATATTATATTCCGTATATAAAAACATTAATACATCTGCATCTTACACAAATTATATTTTATAAAATATAACTATTAAAAATCATATGCTTTAGATTTTCGTGTTACGTTAATTTATTGAATTCTTAGTATTTTAAATACACTTTATACTATATTACTTTGCTTGACTTTTGATGTTGAAAACATGGTCTATGTATATATACATATATTCGAATATCATCCGAATCGAATATATCTTATTTGTATTTGTATTTGATTAATATTCGAATAAAAAATAATATTTGAATTTGAATTTGTATTTGAATAACGCGAATTCGAATCATCATATTCGAATACAAATCGCGAATCGAATTTAAAATATTTGATTTGTTTACATCCCTAGTATGAAAGAGTCTGGAACAGTGAAATACTGAGTGACAGGACAGAGCATTAGAGATGCTCTAAGTGTGTGTACCGTGTACGTCCAGATTTTCTCGTACTCTCTCCGTCTCGAATTAATCTTTCTGTTTACTTTTTTAGGAAAATTTATTTAGATGAGAGAGAATTAATATAGACCAGTTACTCTATTCATTTTGAGGGACGAAATGTACCGATGGCGTTACGCAGTTGGCAAAGACTTGAAGTGCTAAGAGAGTAAGACCCGAGTTTGATTTCTGGCAACTACATTGGGAGACAACTATGCTAAGCATATGATCTCTGCAAATACCAGATGCATGACTCCATTTTTTGCCACCAATCCACGGTCAAAGTGGTCTTTTTTTAAGGAATGCGATGTTTATTTTAGTACAATCCCACCTATTCCCAAATTTCTTACCTACCTCAGCAAATATTGTACTCCACACCTATTCTCTAATAAATTGCATTGAAAAATATCTTCAATTAAGCATCGTAAGCCGAAAGCCGAAACAGACGATTTATATTGGGGTGGGGAGAGTACAATATTTGCTGAGGTAGGGAAGATATTTTTGGGTTACATGTTTACTTTTTAAAAAGGAAATAAAGTAAATAAGAAGTTTTTTTTAGATATCAACAAAGAAAACATAAGTAGTCTTTTGGGAACATGTTTTAGTCCACTATATCATCCCAAGTTGTCTTACAATGTGGCATTTGAAACTAAATCCATATCACCTTAATGTAGAGTAAGGACCCAAAGTGAAATTTTATCTCTTTGTACCCCTACCAAGAGTATATGGAAAACATATTACAGGTTTGGAAACTTACAACTGAGAAAAAGAGAGTGATGATACATATTTTAGCACGCAATGTAAGTATGCAAACTGGTGAAAAACACATAACTTTACTTGAAAGTGGAGAGCCTGGGAAGTTTGTCGCGCAAATAGTACAATCTTGCCCTCCTCACTTTACGGTGCTTCACTACCTTGATCTCTTTGATATTTGGCGAATATCTGAAACAAATATAGACAAACAAAAAGGTATGAAGCACCAAAACATATAGACAAGGAAGAGCAAAAAAGTCGAGAAGTGATGAAGACAGAAGAAGTAACAACCCTGCATAGGAGTTTCCCTATCTTAAATTAACCCCAACAGTAAAACGCCTTTATTTAAGATATGACAAGTAAAGTAAGAACCGTGGAAGGTCAAAGGGTAGAAATATAAGAATGCATAAACTAGGGCTTCATTTGGTAATGCAATTATGCGTATTCTGCTTATTTCGCTTATATAATCCGAACGATTAGCGTTGTAATAGTATGAATGTGTAAAAAGTCCGCATAGAGCATGATATCTGTTTAAGTTAGACCATGACAACAATCTATGCTTGAAATTTCCAGCATACCCTTTTTTTCAGGGTAATACTTTATCATTCCATATTTCAAGAAATCAATTTTGCACACTTGTGCAAGTCATTTCATCTATATCTATTTAAAAACCCAGTTGGATCCCAGTGTAAGGCCTGGAAAGGATGCGTGTATGCAGACTTTGCCCCTACTCAAAAGTAGAGAGCTTGTTTCCAAAGAATTCCGGCTCAAGCAGCACAAATATCATAAGATAATATAAGATCACAGAAACACGTAAAGCACATTAAGCACATACAGCATGGAGAGCAATAGAGCATGGAAAGCACAGAGCACAAAGGGCAGACTAATGTTAATGAAGAAAAAGAAAGAAGCACAGAAGCAAACAAGTGCATAAACTACCACCTGACCTAAAGCGCCTACCCAACTATCGTAATCCTAGTTGTCCATAGACTCTTACTAAGGTCATATCCTTGATAAGGGCTAGAAGTCGCGCCACATCTCTAACCGCCTCAGCTCACCTAGTTCTAGCCTCACATCTCCCCCCGCGTTCAGGAGGCCACGAAAGTACTCACCCCTGGCCACCTCTGATTGCTTGCATTGCTATTTTTGCCTTAATTTGTTTTTACCTTTGATTCCAAACATAGCCAAATGGCACATCATGCAATATGTTGTATAACCAAGCAAAGGAATGATGACAAATGACAAGTAGACTTACATAGGGAATACGATCTCAACCCCAACACCAGCAATGATCCTCCGAACCCGAATGGTTGTGTGAATACCAGCATTTTGCTTTGATATTACTATACCTTTATAAACAGACAACCTCTTCCTGTTTTCAGGGACTTCCTGCGGAGTTAATAGTAAACATCTTATGATAACTTTATTTAATGCTAACATTTATATAATCAAATCCATAACCTAAAGTGGAGAAAAATAAGAGAGATTACCAGCTTGATCTCTACAACATCGCCAGTCCTAAGGTCCGGTATAGGCCTTTCCTTATCAGATTCTTCAACTGCTCTCTTGTTCAATATCTATTAGACAAAGTAAAATCATTCATCAGATTACTGAATTCTCATCCAATGTACCAAATATGAGAGTGGCCTATCACAATTACCCATTTTATCATTTATCAAATACTCGGTAATTCACACAAACACAGCACGATTCGATAAAACTTAGCTGCTTCTTGAAATCTAGAAACTCCCACTACGCCCGTTCCCTTGATTTTAATGTAAACTCTGTATTAAGGAGAAAAATCAGGTAATATTAATCTTAGACTACTTGGTTTTCTAGGCTGGCAATCACATAGAGACCTAATTAACACAATTCAAGCAGCCTTCAGGAGGTAAATGGAGAAAAACATCCCGATTATATATACAAAATACCCCCATTATATCTCCGAGCTTGATCCGAGGCTTCCTGGGAGGCTTTTCCATTGTTGCAACTCTCAACTGAGGCTCTGATTCAGTTTCTAACCCAGTTTCCGGCGAACCTTCATCCACTGCGACAGCATCAGCTCCAGAAACTCCATCTTCATCAGCTCTGACAACAAACCGCTGATTTCCCCGATTTGAAAGGCGGGAGCGAATGGAAGAAACCCTAGAAACACAAATTGAGCGCGAATTGAGCTCCGTAGGTCGGGAGAAAGCAGAAAAAGACGGCGTCTTGGAACCCCATTGAATGGGGATCCTTAGAGCCGCAAACAGCGCCTGAAATTAATCAAAGAGACATGAATTTAAATAAAAAAAAATACTTCCTCATAAAACGAAGAGAAAACAGAGATGAATAGATGCAAGGTGTAGATTGCTACAATGGAGGTCACCTGAGGAATTACATTGGAGCCCATTGGTCAGTGAAATGGCAGCGTAGAGAAGACGATGTAGAAAGTTTTCACAGAGGTTTGTTATCATATATTCATGTGGATAACAATAAATAAATAAAATAATTGTTGAAAATTTCCAGCATAAATTACAGTACAAGTCCTTAAATACTGAAAAAAAATTAAATAAAAAACTATATTTCATGAAAAAATATATCAAAATAGAAGTTTCATATTTATATTTCAAACAATAAGAGTTAAATGTCAATTATGCCAATATATAATACTCTCTCTGTTCTAAAATGTTCTTCACAATTACTATTCACACAATCAAATTTTAATCATTTCTCTACCTATTTTCGTTAGTTATTTGATAAAATTATATAGTCTTGTCATATCTTGTTTTGTAGAATTTTTGATGTAGTTTTTTAAATATATAAATTTTATTTTTAAATTTTACACTTAAAATCAAATAAATTAAATTAAAAAGAAAGTCGGTCAAATCTCATAAACAAAAACCAAAAGGACATTTTAGGACAGAGGGAGTATAAAAAAGTATTGTAAAATATTTATATACAATGTCACGTTATTACAGTACAATTCTTAAAATTAACCAAACTAGTATTTCACCCGTGCGTTGCACGGTTCATATTTACGCTAATTATATTAACATGATATTTGAAATATACAAATTGATATATAATGAAATATAGAGATTTTATTATTTTTAAGGCACAAAATATAATTGGGTTACAAATTTTGAAATAGGCAATTCATGATTATTCGAATACATTACACGTAGTATAATTTTTAAAGAAAAAAGAGGCAATTATTCAGGTAATTATTTTTTAATCAAATAAAAATTCATAATTTTTAGAATATAAACTTTCAAATACTTATGGTCCTCCAATGTAACTTCCGTAATATGCTTTGGTGCCTATTTTACCAGACAGGTTTTGGTGAGTTTAGACTAACAATTTTTCTAATTACATTTGCAAGTACCGACATAAAAGACACACACACACATACATTATAAATATGAGTAAGAAAATTAAATAATAATAATAATAATCTAAGTGAGGCTTATCAATTAACATCACATTGTTACCAAAAGTCAATATGTGAATTTTTTCAAATCCCATAAATTTGTAACAAAAGTTTGAGAATCCTTTTCGCAAAATCTCTTGAAGTTTCGTCCTGTCAAAGAATTGAAGAATGAAAGGGTAGTTGGTAGTTTTCATTGTTTGGTAATTGCGTCGTACTTTGACTCTCATCCGTAAATAAACACTATCTTCTTTCAATTTATCTTTGAAAATGTGTTTATTCAAATACCTGATCTACGCATATATTTGATCTCTCTGGCAGTACAAATGAAAAAAGTACATATTAGCATCATTGCAAAGTTGTGAATGTATACATATTTTAAATTAATTTTAATGAAACAATTAACATCTGAATCATGAAAAATTATCTCTAAGGATTTAGGTAACATGGACTGGGACATGATAAACTCTTATCACTTTTAATTAATTCTTACCAATATGTATGAAAAGAATTATTTCTTTATTGATTTTGAAATTTTTTATTTTTATTTTCGTATTTAGATTAGAAATAATAATCATCCTAGAATTTTTTTAAAAATGGTAGCTTAGATATACGCTATATATTTTTTTATATCATCTCAGCCAAAAATGGAAACATAATAATTTTTAGTTAATGCTTACCATTATATTTTTTGTATCCTCCCAACCAAAATGGAAACATATTAATTATTAATTGATGTTTACCAATATTCTTCTACTAAGATTAGAAATATTAATTAAGCTAGCCTTTTAGTAAAATGATAACGTAGAATTATGGAATATACTTTTTTATCATCCCAACAAAAAAAAGAAAGCGTAGTGATTTTAATTAATACTTACCAATATGTAGAAAAAATAATTTCTTTATTGATGTTGGAATTTTTTTTCTTATTTTTATATTTAGATTAGAAAATATAATCAGCCTAGCAGTATATGTTTTTTTATATTCACCCAATCAAAAACATGGAAACATAAATTTTTTAATCAATGCTTACAATTATTAATGCTTACTCACATGTTACTCGAGTACACGGAACTTTCTATATATTACTTTGACATTTTTATATTCTCCCAACAAAAAATGACAATATAGTACTTATTAAGTAATACTTACCAGTATTAATGCTTAGAATAAATGCAATAAAGTAACATACAAAAAACTTTCTATTTTTTTCTCTCACGTTTAGACAGGAAAAAAATTTCCCCCTCTTTTAAAATTAATACAGTATATTATACAAAAGCTATATAAGGTAATCATTATATATTGAAAGCACAATTATATATGGAAATGTTATTTTTATTCTTACTATTTGTTGATTGCACAATTATATATGGAAACGTTGATTTATTTTCAAAGACCAATAGCATCTGTTGATCAAGATGTTGATGCTAATCTACGGATCACAATGCCTGTGCAATTGGGCCGGAAAATGGCTGGGGCAATTTCCCCTGCTTTTAAGAATAGGATTTTATGAAGTTCACAGTATATCTAAATGAATATACTTTTTTTTTACAATTGTGGTCAAAGTTTATAAAATTTTACCAAAAAAAAATCGAGGTATTACAAACTTTATGGTTTGACTCCAATTTGGATTAAAGATAAAAAAATCTTGTGAATCACATTTCCTTAAAAAAATTGAGAGAATTATAAAATCTACTCTCTCAGTCCCTAAAAACTCTTAATGTCTTAATATTTTTTGGTCAGACAGTGACACTCGTTGATTATAAATTATGAGAAAAATATATTAAATTATAATATAAATTTAATATAATTAGATTTATCTTAACATATAATTTTAATATATCAATTTTTTAACATTTATTTAGATTATGTTTGATTTTTTGTAAAAAAGTATCATTGTTTGACAAAAAAATCAAAATATGAAAATTTTTATTACTTTCATTTATCAAAACATATGAAGAGTTTAACTAATGTTTTCCAGTTTTGTTGAAGCATATCTTATACTTCCTCATAAACTTATCTCCCAAAAAGAGTACTACTGTAGTATGTAATTGATCTCCACATTTCACCATGTTCTATTGTGAAAAAAATGAATAAATGTGAACATAAAATATGCTCTTATTCATTTCACTTCTGACAAAAAAAGGATGAGCTCCCTCCCCGACGGCCCCCTCAGACCCGACTAGACGGTCATTAAGAGGAGGTAAATTGGACTTTGATTGCAAATTGGTAGAAAGAGTGGAGCCTGCAACTGGTACTTGCAGAGACCTTATGTTTAGCATAATTGCCTCCCAGCGCAGTTGCCAATAATCGAACTCGAGTCTTACCTCATTGGCACTCTTTGTCTTGCCAACTGCGCAACGCCCACCACCTATTTCACTTCTGACATATCACAAGAATATGTACTTGAGTACTTTTGATTTAGATAACAAAAATCAGGCAACCCTCATTTTAATCTTAACCACTTTTCAGGTCAAGACTTGTCTACAACAACAATTCCTGCTTTCTAATGCCAAAACAAAAAGAAAACATAGAATAAAACAATTACAGATGGTGAGGTAGCATTTGATAATATCCCATTCCAATGCTGAGTATGATGTTTTTGAGATGTTAAAGGGTTCATTAAAGTCATCTACTGAACATCTGAGCTCTTAAGGAATGTATGACCTGATCCAAAACGGCGCCATTTTCGGCCAGATAGGCTTTTGCTTCTTCTTTGGTGTTCAAAACTTGGCCTTCAATGAAGAACCCATTACCATGTTGTAAAATGACACCATATTCACACCCCAATTCCAATGCCTCCTCAATCCCGTTGCAAATGCCTCCCCCAAACTCTATTCTTAGTTCCGCGTTTCCCATTGCCCCGTGAGTCAGTTTGTTTTTCACCACTTGGACTGAGATCCCAAGGCCAGTAATCTGAGATAAGAAAATGCCACTTGTTTGTTTTGAGAAAAATAGTACGGAGTTATGTGGAGGGGATTGATACTTAAACCGAACTAATTGTAGTGTAGTTTTGAACTAAGGAGTATGGGGCTGAAGTGCACTTAATGGTGCTGAATTATGTCTAACTAAATGCCACTTAGTGTCCCAAAGTTCATAGAAAGTAAGAAGCAAAAGAGTTGTATGTTTGATTTTGTGCATTGTTTTCCAAAGCTAAAACATTGTTAATAATGACTTTTTATTCCATTGAAAATGGATGCAGCACAAAGAAAAACAGAAAAATACTCCCTCCGTCCAAGACTTTTCTTCCCACTTTCCTTTTTGGTCTGCCCATAAATTTTATTTTCTTTTTCTTTTATAGCAAAGAAGTTTGCCTTAAATGTCAAATTTAACCATTTCATTTTAATGACTAACAATCAAATCATCACTATTCATCCAAGGATAAACATTGAGAGTCAATGTTTTTTCTCATCTTTCATTTATTTATACGTTGCCGGGTCAAACAAGGAAGAAAACTCTTAGACCAATGGGGTAGAAAGAAGGCAAGAAATTTTCTTTTGGGTCCAAGTAAAACAACTAAACAAGGTCACTACCATTACCGTGTCATTAGCTTTGAACAATTCTCTTCTGATCAATCTCAAACGCACGGCAGCATAAAATGGCAATGCATTTCCACCACATGTTACTTCCTCCACACGCCCAAAGGCTTTAGATGATTGCTGCACTTTCGATCTCACCTGAATCATATTACTGGAATATGTCATTGGAAAATGTTGTTTTAAAAAACATAATATAAGCTGGTCCAATGACAACACTCCAAACCTGATTAACAAAAATAATAAGAGTGCTCGAATTGCAGAGCGAATAATGAATTTTACGTAGTGCTCGCGTCATTATTGTGGATTGTACATCTTTGTAGGAGTCACCAATGCAAGAATCAATCTCAAGTTGAGGAATAAGAGCAGCCACCTGCAAAAGCCAATGAGGTTAGAACTTTATAGGAACCATTATGGTTTTCTTGATAATAAAAATGAAAAAGCAAAGCAATAGAGCACATGGTAAGACCCAAAGCGGTTTAATGTGCTTAATATGCCAAAATCGTGGCTGAATCATCTGAAATATGTATTTATGGTACATATTTTGACTGAATTAAAGAAAATAATATGGAGTATCAAAAATGGCGGTTAAGTGTCATTTTCATTATTTTCAGAAATTTCATAAAGAAATAACTTTTGCATTACTTATTTCATTTGTAAGCCGAAGCAGCCGAACAGTGAAATAGGTTTGTGTTTGGTAGGTTGATTACCTGATTCACCCAAAAAAGAGCCCCTATCTAACAGTCACTAAATAGCACTAATTTCCGAGGCAAATGAGCATCTCAATTTTTTTAATGTCTCAACCTTGTAAAACTTGGAAAAACATAGAGTTTGTGTTTAGGATGATCTTACACTATCAACAACAATGACATCTACAGATGCACTTCTTGTAAGAGTATCCACTACACTCAGAAGATTTTCCGCAGAATCTGGCTGGGAAATCAGAAGATTATCTGTATTTACACCTATTGCTTCTGCAAGCAAGGGATCCATTGCATTCTCCACATCAAGATATGCACAATAACCTGCAATAAGGTAACATTTTTTCACAAATCAGTCATAATGCCGTGGAACAAAAAGATGAAACCAGAAGCCTTTTGGGTATATTTGGATCATAAAAATGCTAAGGAAAGAAATAATACAGAAATTTATTTATCATGTGCAGTTTACCTTTGAAATGCAAAATAAAACAAAGTATTATTCGCTATTTAATTATTTTTTACTAATATTTACACTTCTTAGAAAAAAGAAGTCTTACTATATTTTAAAAAGATACCCCGTATTAAAGAGTGCATAATAAATTGTTTTATTTTGCATTAGGGGGGGAAGTCTGCGTACACACACCTTCCCCATACCTTACTATTGTGGGATTTTAACGGGTCTGTTGTATTAAAGAGCGAATAATATATTGTTTTATTTTGCATTAGGGGGAAGGTCTGCGTACACACACCCTCCCCATACCTTACTATTGTAAGATTTTAATGGGTCTGTTGTTGTTGTTGGATTTAGAATCCCTAGTCCTTAAATGATAATTGACATAAATAAATAAGAGTATCAATGTCTAAAATAAATTCATTTTGTTTTAGCATATCTTTTGTTTTCCCTACATTTCCCTTCCAAAGAATTTTCTTCTATGTTTTCGTTTCTATTCTTTCCCTAGTATTATCCAAGTTCCAAAGGGACCCTTCAGTTTGAACAAAATAGAGGGCTTTCATAAAGCACATTACACGTGATAAAGAAACAAGTACCTCCGAGTTTTTGAGCCTCTTTGATCACATGAAGAGCAAGAGTGGTCTTGCCCGATGCTTCGCGCCCAAATATTTCAACAATTCGACCCTTCACCAAGCAAACTTCCATCAAATGCAAGTCTTTATTCTCGGATTGTAAAAAAAAGTATGAGTTGGCACACGAGTTGCGCCAAATCAATAATGCCAAGAAAAGTGAGGTTGCTCTTGTTTCTCGTCCTATGTTTAATAAATAAAATATGTAATTAGATTGAGCAATCAGGCAGATCCATAACTTCACATACTCTTTCATATTCTTCTCCGTGAAAACAACCCCATTTTCTTGTTACGAGTAACTCTCTTAAAAAAAATTAAAGTTGATTTATGTAATTTAGTTACAGAGTAAAAAATATACAAAAATGTGTGCAAAGTTCATCAAATAACCCGTTCTTAGGCGCTATAGGGGGTGCAAAGTCAAACAAAATAAGGGTTCATTTGGAACAACTTCAGCATTTAGCATTAGCATTTTGAAGACGCTATCTAACGGAAAATTATATATTGGGGTAAAGAGAGAGAGAGAAAAGAAAAATTACCTTTGGTAATCCACCGATCCCTAGAGCTTGATCAAGCTTGAGTGATCCAGTTGATATGACAGGGGCGCGCCTAGCACCGAAGAATCGTTGCAAGGATAACATTGATTCTGTGCCAATGTCGCAGGCAAGTTGAGTGAGCGCTGAGCGTAGGGCAGTATCTTTCTCTGAAACTTTGGCTGCATTATTGCCGATCTCATCAAATTCAAACTCAGAATGGTTGTGGCCCAAATCATACTCAATTTCTGCGCCTTTTAACACAAAACAAGATAGACATTATTATTTGGGAAAGAATAGGGAATTTCTAAATTCCATCAAATGCTGATTATATTTTGGCCTAAATTAAAAGACCAGACTAAAATATCATACAAATTTGCGGCCACAAACTTCATCGAGCAATATCAGTGTTAACACTTCACTTACAACATGAAATACTCGCTTCATCCTAAAATCATAGAACGGGTTATGTTTGGTCAAGGACTCAAGACACTTTCTTCTAAACATTTTGACAATGTAAAAGACTTAAAATTTAGTTGTCCATTTTCCTAAATATTTCTAAAACACCGTCCGAATTTAGTTGTCCATTTTCCTAAATATGTCAAACTTACGGAACGAAGCTAAAATAACAAACAAACAAAAAACCTTCAAATCTTCTAGCTCTTTGTTGATGGAAAGAATGCTAATATACCTGCAGTAGACGAATAAGAGTTGAAAATCCTTCTCCAAGCAATCCCAATCTGACAATGGTTGATAAACACACAAAGATAAATCCATACAGGGTAAATTATATAAAATAAAATAGAATAAAAGTACCGAAAATTTTTCAGGTCTATTAGTCTCTACGGTTATGAATAAAACTGAGAATCTAGTATTCAAAAGAAGATTTTTTTAAAAATCACATACCACAGGGAGGGATAGAAAGAGATGAAGGGGGGGAATAATACCCTAGACATTGGGGATTGCAATGACCTAAGGTGAGGAAGGTCTGAGAAAGTGGTAAGACGATGAAGCCTAAATGATTGAGCCGCCATGCCCTTCTTCTTCTTCTTCTTCTTCTTCTTCTTCTTCACCGCTGCTCTCCTCTGCAATTACGCTATTTACAATTAGTATCTCATCTCACACTATCATAGAGGGCTAATTTCCAATTTTCGTGCACAAGTAGGGTTGTAAGCGAACCGAATCAAATCGAATATTCATCAATAATTTTCGTATTCGTTGATAAAGAGATTCGAATTCAAATTCAAATTTGGTTCGAATATTTTTTAAGATTTGTATTCGATTCGTTTAATATATTGAACATATTTGATTCGTTTAAAAATTCGATTCGTTTAAATATATTCGGTTCGTTTAAAAATATTTGATTCATTTAGATTTTAAAATATTTTATTACCATTTAATCTATTTATTAGCTATTATTTGTCTATATATATACGGAGTGTGTATGTATGTATATATATATATATATATATATATATATATATATATATATATATATATATATATATATATATATATATATATATATATATATATATATATATATATATATATATATATATATATATATATATATATATATATAT